ATGTTTTTTGTACTTAAAACTGCCATAACTTTTTCAAATATTAACTAATCAAAATAATATTTCTTTATATTGAAACCTTAGGTAATTTTCTTTCATTTGATATCATTTTTTTTTGAAAATCTAACACTAACCTGCTCATTGGGGGGGATTTAAAATAGCAACTTTTTTACAAAAACTAACTTTTTCAACTTAATTTTTGAAAATGTTCCGGAAATACTGCGTCCTTTAAACATATATCAAATTAAAGCTTATTTTATGTACTATAAAATGAAAAAAAAAAATTTGTCCCGACGACCTATCTTCTATGCGCAAAAGGCTACCATATTCAAAAATATGCTANAAATGGCTACCGTATTCAAAAATATGCTATTTTTCTATTAAAATTCTAGGTTTTGTATTTTATTTTATTTTAAAATATCTTATTAGGAGAATATATTGACTTTCATGAATATTATATAATTTAATTGACATAGAATAAAGTTCATAAGACATAAGAAATTAAATTTATTAAATTTTTTTTACTTTTTTAAGTCGAAAAAGTAATTTTTAAATTTGAGTTAGCTTAAATAGCCAATTTTTTAGCTTCGATGCGAATTTTTTATATGTAAATACTAATTTTTAATAATATTAAAACTTAGAAGTGATAGAAAAAGTCTAATTGCAGATTTGAAAACATCGCGAAAAGTTGATTTAGAATGGTATATTTTTGTTACTGATGAAAGTTCCTTGTAGTTCAGTGCATTTATTTATAGTAACAAACAGTTTTTATTGAAAATTATTGTATCAAGCCCTTTAAATTTTTATACACGTAAAAATAAAGCAAAATACAACTTCTTTATTATTTTTATAATTTCTCCGTTTAAATTACAATATTAAATTATTGAATATCAATTTCATACTAAATTTAATAATTATAATTAGTATTTATTCATATATTATATTTTAAAATCAAAGAACTACTAATTAGGATATAATTAAAGAAATAAGAGTTGATGTTGCTTTTGGAATAATACACCAATTTCTCTAAATGAAACACTATCTACAGATTTGCATCGAAGCGTTTCTTATGATAATGATTTTAATTACTGTCAAATATCATCTATACTTGTCCCATCTATGCCTTGTCTACACTGTGCCTCGAATTTTTTTTTTCATATAAAAGTTTATTATACAAGCTTTAATTTGATATATATAAAAGTGTCAGTATTTCCGGAATACATTAAAAAATTAAGTAGAAAAAGTTCTTTTTTCCATATGAATTTTTAATATTTGAACCCCTCCTGTATTAAGGAAAATGTTCCGATTTAATAAAAAAGTATGTCAAATGAAAGAGGTATATAAATATTATTTCTCATAATACAATTGTATTAATCTATACATTTTTCAAAGAGTTATAGAAATATAAAGTTAAAAATGTAAAATATAAAATCGAGAATTTTAACACAAAAATAGCATACGGTAGCCATTTTCACCAATTTACGGGGAACAGGGAAAATTTTTTCAATTTTTGAGTGTAATGTCTTCGACTAGATACGATTTGTGATCTTTTGACGTATCGTTGAAAGAATTCGGTTCGGTAAGAGCTGAGAAATAGTGGTAACAGACACACAAAAAAAAAACACATAGTAAAATTAAAACCTTTTCAGCTTCGCATCGAAGCTAAAATTATATATGATTTTTTATTAATAATAATAAAAAATAATTTTTTTTAATTTCAAATTTTTTCCAAACTTTAAAATATTACTTTTATTAGAAAAAATATTCATAGAAGGTTAACAATTATTGAGTTACAAAGCATTTTTAAACATATAATGAGTATGTTCGAAGGTGGGTACAGTTTGTACTGGTGCATACTTGTAATGCAAACTCTTACCCACGTTTGTTGTGGCTATTCAAAATTATATTGTTGCTTAAATAGACTTATTTATAAGTTTTAGTCAAACTAATCCTTTTCTTACCTTATAAGATGGTTTACTTATTTAAACTCTACATTTTAGAGATTTGGATGTTTTATATCCCACCTTTTTTACGACTGTGCTGTTTTTATTATTTCAGCTAAATTAATATATTATATTTTATTTAAGGAAATTCATTATTTTCAAAAGTAGTTTTGGGTAAAAGCCAAGCAAATAAAAGATATATACTCTATTTACATCATAAAGATTTAGAAAAAACAAAACCTTTGAACAGTTTATGTTTATTAATTCAGACTAGAATATGTTTTGTAGTATAATTGTATACATTTGTCCCCCAGAAATTAAAATTTATTTTTTGCCTGTGGTTGTCATTTTGGATACAAGACTTCATATCAGAAAGTCAGTGGTCCGCGGATTCCCAACGATGACAGATAGACGGCAAGACAGATACGTTGATATATCTTACAATACGTGGCAAGCTTCCTTTGATTTAGTAGTTTTAAAAGAGGCGCCGATAGTGAAATTAAGGACAGATGTCAACATGTGCACGATGTCTCACACACGATGTTTAACATACATAAAGTATTTCCCTCCCAAACACTATCACATATCTTAAGGTAGTCTCTTATAATTATAACATAGTAAATTTACTTGTAATTACGAAACTCTTTACTTGAAGATTTTAACACAATACATTTATCAAATGAGCTTTATTTATTGATATTTTTTGTACATTTTATTAAAACATTTAAAAATACGTTAGAAAATTTGTCATGGTTAATTTATAAGACTGATTTGTTGTTATATGTGGAAAGAGGAAGTGAGCAAAATTAATTCTGTACTATACCCGATTGTCAAATAATTTTGAGTACAATCATTTAGAATAATGCTTAATGTTTTAATGCGGTTTCCGTCATTAATAACAATTACAATAACCAAAATAGTTAATATATGATATTGTTTATGAGTGATGACAACAAAAATAGATGTTATTTAAGTTGCTTAGTTGCGAAAATACAAATAAGTTGTTTATATATAAGTTTATTTTATCTTCGATGCATAACGGTATTAGTCTCCCCGGGTGAGAAGGTATTAAAGAAGGGAAATTAAGTAAGCCCTCTTAGCTTATTAAAATAATATTAAGAATATTGCACAGAAATGGAATATTTACATCATTGAAAATCAGTTCAAATTGTAGTTTACTTAGATTATTATACGATTAAAAAAAAATGTTTTCACGATTTGTTTTTGATGAGTAATCAGGTTACAAAATCTAAATTCATGTAATTTTATGTTAAGTTTTGTATCGAAGCGTTTTAAGATAGTGATTTTATTCGCTATCAGATATCAATCAATACTAATCAGAAAAATGTCCTAACTTCACTTTGTAAGATCCCTACTGTACTTTACTTTTTAATTAAAATTTTTAACTAAATAGTTAAAAATTAAATACAGATGAGACCCGAAAAAAAGAGGATCTGATATAGAATATATTAATATACGTCATTATATCATTATGATTAAAATGCTTTATTGCCATTGTACATCATTGAAAGTCGGCTATTCTCACATTTATTGGATGCTTGAAATTGTTATCTAGTATAGATAGCCAAAACCGTTTTTTAAGGACTTAATGTTATTATTGGATAGACACTAATCAGAGGTATAGGTTGAATACGTAAAACCACACTAAATTATTTTAGTTTAATTTGATAACAAGTAAACAAGTTTCGTAATTGGTTTTAACTTCCCTATCTTCTCATATACCCCTGAAGCTGAATATCTGAGGAACTTTCTTAAAAATATTTATATTTACAAAATCTAGAATTTGAATAATGTTGTTTTAATAAGGACTAATTTTAAAACTGGGTAATAAGTTCTTTCTATATGTCGACAATGTAAATTTCTATTTACCTGAACTCTTGCCTCTGATAGGCATACTCTTCTAGCTAATTCTTCCCGGACAAAGGCGTCTGGGTAGTGTGTTCTTTCAAACACTTTTTCTAATGCTCTTAACTGACAACTTGAAAATGTAGTTCGGTTTCTTCTTGGCTTACCTTTCCGTTGATTATCACTATCTATATTTGATTCTAAAATATCATAATAAAAAATATAAGAGTACAAAATTATTTATTTTTTATGGAATCGCCCCTTTAGGGGTGCTTTACAATAAACAATTTTTTTTTAAATTTTGATCCTAAGTTTTTAAATTAGTAATGGCAAAATACCTTTAAAATATAGATATGGGACTAAGTATACTATTAGAAATAAAATATTTAAGATGTGTAAGTTATTAACATTACATATGTGATACTTTTAGGTTATAAAAAGGTAAATATATTGTAGTTGTTGAATTTAATCAAAGTTACATTAAGTGTATAAAAATTTTGATTAAGTTTTATTGTACATAATGAAAAGTTTTTTTATAATAAAAATGTTGGTAAATGCTTAGGCTTTACTAGGGAAGAGGGATTTTTTTTTGGTATACTTGGAAATTAGTAAAAATAAAAAATGTTAAGAATATTTATCCAAATTATGATATATAATAACAAAAAATACAAATCAGTTGTATATTTTAAGCCTAAAAATATTTTCAATTTCGTAAAAAATGTGGCATCGATATTTTTTCACCAATTCACATTTTTAATTTACCATAATGATTTAGTTGTTATTATTTTCTTATTCTTTATTTTATGAAATAAAAATTCACTCTATTTAATTTTTAAATAAAAATTGCTGTGAAAAGTACCTAACATTAAGAAAGATGAATGTTATGGAACATGTCCAACGACATTAATGACGACATTAACCATATATTAATTAAGTAGCCTAATAAATAACAGACAAAAATATTCATCATTGCTCTGCTGCGTATTTTAACACACTGTAATTATAGGATGTTTTAAAAAAATTCTATTATATAAATTGTTATTATAATATAAATAATTTGATGATGTCTAATGGAAATATTACATATTTGAAAATATATACAAATTTATAATTTTGGATTAAACAATTCATTAAACACATTCCATAAACTTTATCTTTAATAAACATCAATAACTCTTTATTTGAAAATATAAATATTATTTGATACACAAAAATAGGTTGTTGATTTTTTAAATAAGAACATAAAAATGTTAGTCACATTAATAAGTGTACATTTGGTAAAATCTTAAGATTGCTAATACAACATTTTCAATATTTCGAGTTTTTAATTATTTATTATTAGTATTATCTTTAATGCATTTTCAAAATGTTATAAATTCAATTAGTCGCATAGTAGAGTGAAGTGAAAATTAGCTTACATCAATTAATAACTTATAAAGAGCAATTAATATTATTCAGTGATGATTGAATTTTCTGCTTCATAATATTAGTAAATCCAAATTAGACATTAATGTCTTGACTGCTCAAAATATTAGGAAGATTAAATGGGTACATTTTAAATTTAAATTTTATTTGATGTATATTAGTTAATATGTTTTATGACCTACAAAATTTAATTTGATATTATTTTTTAGATTGCTGTTTTAAATTGGGTAGATTGGGAATATTTCTTATATTATCGTATGTAAAAATAATTTAAAAAATAAAATTGAAACTTTATCAAATTTCACTTAGTTATTTTAAACACAGGAGAGAATTTATTTTAAATATTGGTATATAAATGTACTTAAAAGTTTTTATTTTAATTTCAAAATAATAACAAAGATTGAACATTATTAAAAATTAATATTTTATTTGATAGATTTTTCAAGCTTAAAATATACCAACATTAACTAGAAGATAAGTTTTGATAAAATCCTTTTCATAAGTTATACATTTATTTATTATTTAAAACATAATTTTCTTTAGCAAAAATGTATAAACTTGGAAGTGCTGACTTTAATACATTTACATGCATGACCGTAATAAGTAAAAAAATAATTTCCTTTAAATTTGTGATTTTTTAAAGTTATTTATTTTTATTGTAGTAACCTCATATGTGTAAAAGAATTTCCGATAAAACTAATGAATATTAACAGTAGGTGTAACCTTTTCACTTCCCTCTTAGAATGACTTTGTTTACATATATTGATAAATAAATATATTTTATAAATGTAATATGACTTGCATATAAAAATAATTCCAATTTGTGATGTAATTCACTCTTAATTTGTTTTTAAGAAAAAAAATTATTGGATATAATTTACCTTAGCGAGTAACTTTGCGCTAACATACGTCTAAATAAGTAATTCCGATCATTTCTCGATAATTTTTATCTACTTTCGAAATTATTCAGAACAACTTATATCGTCATTGAATGTATAGCTGTACATATTTCAAAATTTAACCAAATAAGATTTATATCAATAATGATAAAAAAAGTTTTTCTGTACATTTTTTTTTTATGAGACTAATAGTTTAATTGAGAATCATTTAAATAAAATCACCTTTTGTATTGAAATGAATTAATTTCAATTTGTTTTTTGGTCACCCTAAAAATCTAGAAAAACTGAGATACGCAGTGTTGCAATATAAACGACGATTTACTTATGACATAATTTATGTCAAGAACAAAGAAGAAATCACAATTTTTAGGCAAAATGCAATTTTTTTTTTTTTTTCAAAAATTCATAAGTTAACTCTTAAAACATTTTCTATCTATTCTCATAAATTTGGTTAAATAATATAATATAACATGTTTTATTTGTTTTCTAATAATGGAGTATCCAAAATTTTAATGTTTTAATAAAATAGTTTCCAACTGAGATTCTTGCGTAAAATAATTTATTTTGAAATAGAATAATTTTTATCAAATAGTTAATAATAAATATTTTTATTAAAGAGTTTACTATTTTACCTCATTTTTAAAATTTGTTTATTATGTAATTTTTTTTTTTGCCGATATATACAATTTTGAATTTAGTTTTATTTTAACTAGATTTAAGTTATCATTAATTTTGAAATTCGGTATATTATAATTTTAAAAATAAAATTTTAACTTTAAGTTTATTTTGTATTATAAGCAGCATGATGTTTTTTTTAAGTATCGAGGATCGAAAATCGTAAATAGAATTGTAAATAAAAAATCGTTAGTTGTTTTGCTATTGAAATTTTCACAAATAAATAAATTAGCAATATTTACTTGAGAAAATCAATGCAAAATCGTAATAAACTACAAAAAAAAAAAAATCATTTGATGATGTCGTGGATTTATTGCACCACTGGGCCCCCCATAAATATTCTTCTTATTAGAAACATAATTTATTATATTTTATAAAATACAAATGTATTATTTTATTGAAATGTAGTAAATGAGGTTTCCATTGAGACGTCAGTCGGAAATGAGTTGTAGTTGCGTACTTTAGTTATAATTTTAAGGTGAGAAAATCGTTAAAATGTATCTAAGAGACGATTAACGTTTATCTTCTGATCAATGCTACTTTTACTACAAAAAATTTTTACGACTTTGACATCTAAATCATGAATGAAATCTCAAAGAAATTTACTTCATTGAATTGAATATACACTCGCCTACAAAAATCATTTATGAAAATTTACGCCTTATTTTACATATATATATTTTTAATGCATAACCACGTATTAATAAAAATTTATCGTTGACCAAATATTGACATTTGAGTTTTTGAATATTTTTTAGGTGTTGCTCTTGTTTTACTATTTAATGTCACTGATGTTTCGTGTATCAGTGTAGTAATTAAAGGGTCTGATCTCACTACACTGGGCGCTGAACCAAAATTATGTCTCTCGCAAAATCAGTTGTTTCACATCCTTCTATTTCCCAAACTCAACATGCCATAGGATGGTTCTTGACTAAATCAATGATGGACGGGACGGGTATTATGTCCGATTTGCACCAGAGACCAGACACCACCAACGAGAGATTCACAAGAAAAATCTCGTTGGCACTCTGGGAATCGAACCCGGGACCCTGTGCGCCGAAACATCCGTTTCTACGCAATAGGCCATGCCGACTTCCTCACTATATAAATTATAAAAAAAGTGAAAACTAAAAAAATCAACTTTAATTGTTTTATAATAATTGTAAGTTTTTAGAAAATTTCCATTTATTATTGTGATTGAGAAGAATATGGCGCTGATAGCTTTAACTAAATACGTTTTGTGATCATTAGACGTATCATTGTGCGAAATAGATAGGTCCAGTAGAAGTAAACGCGTATATAGTTAAAAAAACACAAGTAAAACCAATAGCTTCTTAGTTACGCATCGTAGCTAAAATAGACTTTATTGACTTCCGTATTTTTGCAATTAGGCAATTTAAATAACATCCTACCACTCATAAATACGATCTTATCTTATATTTTTTGAGTTATTTTAATTGACAGTTATGACGTAAATCGTAAAAAATGATAATAAAATAAACAAAAAAAACTTATTTGGAAATTATTTTGCAAGAAATGTGTGTTTTAAATTCATTATAGTTTGGCAAAGTTTCTATTTTTAACATCTATATAGCTATAGCTTATTAATGAACATTTAATCATCCTATAGCTGCTACCGCCAATATTGATGATGGGTATTTCTGACCTTTAAGTTGACAATAAAATATTGACTTTAAAAACCATCACGTCCCATTAAATCTTTTTAAGTCTGATTTTTTACTTATAGAGATAATGTAGAAATTTGCAGTTCCATTTTACCTCTTAAAATAGATAAAGGTTGTATTTTTCGCACAATGTTTCGTTTACTCTTTGTTTTTTTTCGGTTGTCAATCGTTGTAATACAGCCTTATGCACGTTAAATGTTCACCATCTGTTCAAGCTCTTGTGTGGATCACTTATTTAACCAAATAGGCATGGCTTATCAGTAATTAGTCTGTTCTCTGCAGCACAAAGTCGTACTTCACGGGAGATATAGACGATCACTCAATACGGACCAGTGCTGTACAATTTTAAATAAATCCTATATTTATAAAATATGCCTCTAAAAACGTTTTTAATCATTATTTTATTTTATAGAAATTTTACAGAAAAAAAATTGTTTAGCATACATAACATAGTAAGGCGATTGAAACGCTTCTCATCTAAAATAATTCTAAATATGCTCTTGCTTTGACACATCAATCTTTTCCGCACCATTAATTTACTTTATAGTATGAAATTAACAATTAGTATTTAGTTTTTATAAATAAAATTAAATTTTAAATGTTCCTTGAGCTGATGGTTTCTATTTTATTATAGTTGTATCATATTTAAAAAAAAATATTTTTTAAAAACTTCCCTGATTTGTTTTTCCTTTGAGTTTACCCAATGTTGAAAACAATATAATAATTATTTATTTAAAATTTTAATACAAAATTCCTTTTATTTATTAATTATTTTACTTATGTACTAAATACCTAATATTTATTGTAGAGCCTTCAAAAGCAAATATGTTTAAATATTCGAAGTTATCAATAATGAAAGGCTGAGTTATTACAACCAAACGGCTCAATTTTTTTTAAATCTACTTCTTGGTGTATTATACGGTAGAATTACTTTTCGACAGGGGTATAGTGTATTTACTTTGAAATATTTTATTTAAATACACTAGATGACATTGTAAGACGCAAACTAGCACTTTACATCAAATTAAACTACGAGAACAGGTATTTTTAATTTAAATTTTGATTGATTTGGTTAACACTTTACTTAATTGTACGTTTCCAATTACAGTTCATTTTACTTCTACTTGTGCTTATAATTGAAAACAAACAAAATTTAATGAGAAAATAGTAGTGATAATATCTTTAGATTCGTGACCTTATATCCGCTTTTGTGATAACTTTATTCTTATAACCTTCAACTAAATATTTTATCACATTACCATGTAAATTTGTTAGTTTATGTGCTTTAAAAAAAAGATAAGTTTTATTGTTAAATTTTGAGTATTTTCATGGTTAATTACATAAAACTAAAAATCAAATAAGAAAAAAATTGCCCATCAATCTATTTAGTATAATAAAATACTCCAAATATGTTTTAAAAATTATATCAACTTTTAATTATGGATTTCACATTAAAAATATAAAACTTTGTTTTAGTTGAGAAAAAAATTGTTTTATTTGTTTTAAACAAATTATTTTTTGAACTCTATTTATTCAATTAAAAATAATAATAATATTATTATAAAAATTACATTCATAATATAATATCACACTTAATAGAACGGTGATACAATAGAATAGATAGGAATCTTAATAAAATTTTATCTAATTTTTTTATTATTTTACTCATTGAGTCAATAAGTTAATTTTATTTAAGTTTTTCATTTAATTTAATAATTTTTTGTACAATTTTAAAGTAATGATTAATTAATATAAAATTTTGTTATATCTAATTAGTTATTATCATTATAATATTACATATTTCAAATAAACTAAATAATTATCAGATGTTCTATATTTTTACTTGTAAAAGTACAATTTTTGACTTAGTTTCTAGCTGTATTATTGCCAAAGATAATAGAACTTTACTTTGTTTATTGTAAAAATTTTTGATGATAAATATGTTTTACAATGGTTAAAAATCACATTATATTTGGTCTTAATTATATCAATGGTGTTTGAGAAAAACTGCCTACGTCAAAATAAAGTAAAAATATATTTATTTTTACATATAAACATTTTACTTTGATAGTTTTTTTTCGACCACTACCAAATGATATGTAAATTTTTTTTTTTTGTTGTTTAAAATAATTGTTTTTTATATGCTGTTTAAAAAAATTGTGTTTGAACTATTAAAACAAAACAATGCTTGGATAATTTAAATGTTTTAATTGTGGAGTCTAAAACAAAATATTTTTAACATCTCAACTCTGATAAAAAGTATATTATTATGTCTTTTTAAAACGATTTTATTAATATTGATTTGTAAGCCTATAATATACCCGTGAATGTTTCATATATGATATATATATATGAAAGTTTTTTTGTTTATCTCTCGATAAACTAGCATTAGAAGTACAGATACCAGGTTATCGATTTTCTCTGTGTGATTTCAATGCTAATTTCAAACTTGGTTTAGAAATTCTAACTGCAATATAGTACAAAATTATCCTGACAATTTTTGAAAAATTTTTCGTTTTTTTTCAAAATTATGTGATCCTTTTTCGCTATGTTTAGCAAATTTTTTTATTTTTTCATTACAATTTGTAATATTTAAACTCAAAACAATGTTTTGTTATTATTTTTTAATAAAATATACAAATGAATTTTTTCTTAATTGGTGCTTGATTATTTAAAAGATAGGAGTCGTGGGAACTTTTATCTTTTTTTAAATATAATTAACATAACATAGGTTTAATTTGATATAGTTTTAAAGGGTGTAAATTTTCTGGAATATAGCCAAAAATCATAGAACAAAAGTTGAAATGATATTTTAAAAGGTGATGCTTTTAGAATAATTAATCAAAATTGCATTTTTTCTAATTATTGTACATTAAGATTTATACTTAAGTATTGAAATTGACGTTTCTCAACAATTGCTATTTTTAAAATTTTTTTATTAATAAAAAACGATAGGAATTTTGTAATTATTGAGTGTAATATGTTTAACTAGATTTAATAAAGGATTATTGTATATATTAATGGCTAATAAGTCCAGTGAATCTCAGCACATGAGAAAACACCAAAAATATAGGTATGTAAAAACTTGTCTAGTATTAGACCAAAGAGGGTCGTCGTTAGGGGCGTGCAAAGTGTCTCTACACGAGGCCTTGCGCTATAAGTAGCCCTGCAAATTAAGTTAATGGCTAAAAAAAAGTTTTATTTTTTACTAAGAAAAATATTAAGAGCATAGTTGTTTCGCAAAAGACCCGTTTAGCGTCGTCCCTGAGACTATTACAATACGTAATATGTATTGCAATATGTTTGTAGATTACATAATCATAAATGGTTATATGCTTAAATTTTTTAATACCTGTAAATTAATAATAATATCACTTAAAATATAGTCACTAAAATTATAATATAATCAAGTGTGATTTCATAAATCTATGACTATTGAGATGTACCATAAGACTTTAGAACTGTAGGGTATACTTTGCCCTCCCTAAAACTCCTTTTTTACCATTAATAGAAATTAATATTTGTTTGGTTTATAAACCAAATATATTTATATAGGGTGTTCAGTAAGTAATGAAACGGATTGTTCTCATTGTTCATAACAATTGATCTGTTTCCTTAATTACTGAAAATTTTGTATAATTTCATCATTTTGATGGTTATAAAATAATAATGAAAATATATAAATTAAAGATTAAATTAATTATTCTCCTAACTTAGCTTATGACAGACAAATAGTATGGGTAAGTTAAAATTTTGTTACTTATAAAATAAGCATTTGTTTAGAAAAATTTTTTATTCTGATTGTTTATTAACTTAGTCAGTTTTAATTAGTAAAAAATATGTAATTAATTATTTCATATTAGTCAATATATATTTTATTAAAAATTTAATTAAAATTTAATTACTCAAATTAATTGCCATTAATAAAATGTATTTATAAAATCTTAGTTTATGATATAATGAAGTAGATTCATAAATTAATATTTAAATAACAATTAAATTAACAATTGACCTGTTGAATTTCAGTAACTAATAATGTTATACATTAGGTATTTAATTTTTTTAATATGTTTTAACCTATTGAACTTATCATTATTGACTTGTTAGTTAAAAAAATATAATAAATATACAAGTTGAATTGCAAAATTTAGTACTTTTGGTAGAAAGGTCTGTATTGTAATATATAACTTATTTGATAACCCATTGCCATAGGCTATTGATAACAGAGATAGTTATTTTTATTTTGAAATGGCCTAAGAACATAGACACTACACGAATACTTAAATTTGTCTGTCAATTATTAGTTTAAAAAGTAATTAAACTTTTTTTTTTTTACTAATTGTTAAATGCTTTTCACAATAAAATCTTTATTTTATACAAAACTGAGCAAGTAGGGCGTTAGTCCATGATCTTGTACAAAAAAATGATGACCAAAAATGATCATTTAGTTGTAAGTCAATAAAATTTTGGCCCCCGTGTTTGTAATTTGCCTCAGATATCACAAATAATAGCACTAGTACTATAAATGTATATATATATATATATATGTTCACATTGTTAATAAAAAATTATATACGTCAATTTTTAGTTTGAGTTCATAATTTTTTCTAATATTTATGCTTAAAATTAAAATAACTTCATTCTAACATTAATTTTATGTTTATAGAAAGAAAATTATTTGTAGTTATATTGTACCGCTTAATAACGTATTTCAAGGCAGACTGTAATAAACTAAAGCCTAAAGTTATGAGTAGCGCTCTCGAAAGAAAATGGTTCCACATATACCACAATATATATTTCTAAAATTAAGTAACGAACACAAAAAGGCCTTTATTATGGTGAAGTACAAGATTTAATAATCCCACCTATGTTCCTCCCTCATTATGAAATCTTGTGGACGTCACTACAAGAAAATAACAATTTATGTAAAATTATATTACTTCACAGAAAAAGAAATTTAGGTAGCAAACATTAAAAATTTGGTTAGAAAATATTACATCTCTAAGAATGGTTTTACGATAGTGCAATGAAATTTTTTTAAATACTGATTTATTAAAACAGTCAATTTACCAGTATTGCCTTCGTATGGATGTCTGTCGATCACTGTATCTCGTATTTGCAATATAGAGTCCACAGTGAATCTTTTTGCATTTTCCGATCCGTAATCATCATTATCCATTACAGTTGGAACCGATTTATACTGACCATGTTCTCCGAGCATGATTTTAGTTACCCACAAAACTTTAGAAGTAATTACTAGAAAGTATTTTTTAAGCTTCTTTCAGTTTGGGCCACTTAACTTTTATAATAAACACACAGTCTTAAACATATTGGATTACATTTATGTATTATACTTGTTAATAACTGCAAAAATCAATAATAAAAAATTTAACGTTTGGCACATGGTGTTCTATAAAAATTGCACAGCGGTAGCATTACACTCTATGACTACGAGTAGGCACGCGGTCAGAGAAACTACACTATGTTCGAAGAAGATGTTCGGTGAACGGTAGCGGAGGAGGAGGAGGAGGAGGCAACTCCGTAAAAATAAACAAGACCGCCAATCCTTCTGCACAGGGTGTTCCCAACGAGTTTTGGTAGGAGTCCAATGACGGCGACGGGTGTCTCTACAAATTATGGGGAATGTCTGAAACACTGACAGGCTGTCCCTGTCCTCGTCAGTAGTCTTTGTCGTATATAATAATAATAATTTGAACATGCCGCACCGGATAGCGTTTTGAACCAATCACTTCTATGTGTTAAAATGTGTTTAATAATAATAATTGGGTCGGGTTATTAGTATTGTTATTTTTGTAAGTATACAAAATACTCATTTAAGAATTATTTTCACGCTTTATGCTTCGCTAAAAACCACACACGTGCTAAATACTCAAAATAGTGCCTTCTTTAGGGTGGCCTTTGTAAATGATGAAGGTTAGTTCCTCATCAAAAAATCATCACTCTATAGAGACATTTTAAAAATAAGCCATTCGATTTCTCTTTAAATAAAAATTATGTTAACAAAATTCTTTTATTACTACTAAACTTAATAGATTTAATAAACTGAGTGGTAGATTGATAAGACACTTATTTTCTTGGAATCTGTTGTACATTAAACAATTTTTATTGAAGAAACAATCGTTTCATTCATAAAACTCTACAGTAATATGTCGTAACATAATTGTTTTTATTCCATCAAAGTTAAAATAGCTTAACTTTAATTTTATTTAACGGCAACCCCTATTTTTAATTTGANGTAGATTGATAAGACACTTATTTTCTTGGAATCTGTTGTACATTAAACAATTTTTATTGAAGAAACAATCGTTTCATTCATAAAACTCTACAGTAATATGTCGTAACATAATTGTTTTTATTCCATCAAAGTTAAAATAGCTTAACTTTAATTTTATTTAATGGCAACCCCTATTTTTAATTTGATTACATAATAGAAAAAATAGATGTCAAAAATCATATTGTTAATTAAAAATTCAAATGTTTGAACAATTCTAAAACGCAAATAGTTAAGAGGATAAAAAAAATTGTTTAAAACATTTTTTTTCTATCATATAATCAATCAAAAATAGGTTTCCTATTAAGAATTTAGAATAGTACAGTAAAATCACAGTAACCAATATTTTTATAAAAATTAAATTTTTTACATAGTCCCAGGTTATATAACCTGCCAAATGTTGTTGTAATTATTCTATAATATAAATACAATTATTATAATTAGAATATTAATAATTGTTGTGTTTACCAGGGGCGTATTTAAGGGGGATATGGTCATTGCCCTCTTTGAACCAGCGCTATCAATATTTTTTTAGGCAACTTCTAAGAAAAAAGGACCTAATGACCTTTTTTTTGATAATCACTTTAATTTTTAGTAAAAAATATTAAATACCATCCTAAAATAGTTTCTGAATACGCTCAAAGGGAATTCCTCATTAACAAACGTCATTCTTATACCCAATACATTTTACTATATTCTCTTTTTGAATTTTTCTGATTTTAATAATTACATTTTTGTTATATGGATTCTGATGTAATATTTTTGTGGTAAAACACTTATCGTGCTCGGCGTAGCTGGGTACTTCTACCAGAATCAGTGGCCTACGAGTTTTAAGAGGCTTAAGCGGCGAAGGCATGTGAGACTCGTAGGGCCCCAGCTAGACAAAGCCTAGTTTATTAATAAGACAATATTTATTTGTATTAGGGTCATTCAAACGAGTTTTATAAATGAGGCTGAATTACAAATATCTTTTTAATCACTTTTACCTATTTTTTTTACTCACCACAATTTTAATTTCAGAAAAGTTTACCATCAGAATTTTAATGGTAGTCGGGGAGAGGTACTACTCCTTAAATTCGGTCCTGATGCCAAAATTATATATTTAAGCATAATTATTAAAAAAAAGGGTTCAGATGAGCTTTCCATTAAATTATATTTTCAATAAACTAATACATTCTCAATATAATCATGTATAATTTAATTACTATATGCTTTAAATTTATAACTTTTAACCATAATTGAAAGAAAAAACAATTTTCTGAACTTATATTACATACTAATAATTTACACTATTATTTTTAATAATTTTATACTCTATATCAAATATAGATAATGTCATTATAAAGTTTATTTACATAAATCTTTTACATAATTTAATTGAATTATAATTCATAAAAGTAATATACAAGGTGTTATTAATTAAGGAAACAGATCAATTGTTAAAAACAATAGAACAATTGAAACCCGTTTCCTTACTTGCTAAATATTCTATTGTATTACCTATATATTATTAATATATATTTAGTAAATTCTTATAAACTTTAAAATAAATATACTCAAATAAGAATGATTCAATATAAGCATAATAACAATACAAAATCATATTCATATATTTATTAACCAAATAGTTTATTTATTTTATGTCTACTTCAGACAATACTAGTGAAAAATTATAAGTAAAAAAAAAAATTTTTAAATATATTAATAGTATTAAATATTAATGTATCTACATACACTAACATGACTATTTGACTTACTAAATAATGACAATTATTCGATTGTTATTATCTGTGGCTGACTAATTTTAGACTATTGAACTGCGGGATGAATTTTTCGATGCTTTTCAATCAATTTATTCAAAATACTGAGTGTAATTATATCATTCATGATCAGCGACATGCTTACATAAAGAGCTACCTGGTATAGATGTTACAGTGCACAACAAAAAGGGCACCTCCGAGTCTATAAAAGGCGTCATAGATAATGTAACAGATAAAACTCGGGTAAAAATGTAAAGGTTTATTTTTTTATATTTGTACTATGATACATGTCAAGTGTAGGTGATAGCGTCGTTGTTTTTAATAAATATAGATTTCATAAAAATGTAGATAAAACACAATTATGAATTATTATCTCATTAGCCAATATCCCAATTATTTGTGTCGGTTCTACCTATCAATGATTTGACAGGACTTTTACACCGGCTATCGACCAGACGCAATCTCATAGCAGAAGGCGCCAGTATAGGAACAAGGGGTATGTTACTGTTAACACTCTCATATGGTTACCGATCCAGAAACTAATAGCCAACAGCATATCTGAATATCAGCGCTAAGACGGTGACTGAATAATCTTCTGTGCCTTACCACGCCTTTACAATCATCAATTATTGTATAATAAAATTGATTTAACATAATAAAATAAAAAAAAAATTATGATGTAAACTGTATTAATAACACTAACCTAAATTTTTAACTGGTGAAAATTTACCGCATATAAGAAAATATTATATGTATTTTTCCTGGAACATTACTGAAATACACTAAAAAAATGCAACACAATGTAAATTATATAAAGAATTACAACAATATATTGAATTATATAACAAAATTAACTATACAATTATTAATAGATTCAATATTTTTTTAGTGAAATCATACAGATTCACTGGATTCAAAGCCTTAATTTTGTTTGACTGTGATGACTAGTTAACAAAATATAAGAGCAAGGTAGCTAAATATGAGAAAAAATGTCACTAATAAATACAGTACATTAAAATGATAGAATTATTTAATGAATCAGTTAATAATAAAAATAAAAAACTTGAACAATAGTACATAGAAGTTGGTTTTAACAGGAACTTTTTTAGTTGACTTTTATAACAATAAAAACCGTTCTACAGATATCTTTCTAAAATATTAACAAAAACTAATAATGAAAAAAAAACTTAATTTCAAAGTATTCATTTTTACTATGGTTAATGTGTTTTGTTTAAAAAATTGTAATGTATTTCAGTTATTATCACAAATAAAATAGATTAAAAATAGTTACTTGAGTTATTAATTATAATAAAAAAAACCTATCAAAAATCAAAATGGTTACAATATTTATATTTAATAACTATTTTTTGTTATTTTTCAATAACCATTAACAAAAGAAAAAATAGGATTTTAAAATAACTCTTAAATAATCATAAATCATAGAACATCCAGGTATTTCATAAAAAAATTAATCTTGCTTCACTAAACATTGACTGAACACTAATTATTTATCAATTACATCAAATATATTCTCAATACAAGATGCATGCATCAGTTAATAAAAAACAAAACTTAATGAACAGGCTGTAAAAGAGATATTTTTAATAAATATATATTTTTTTCAATTAAATTAATCTTTTAATGAATAGAGAAGATAGTAAAAGTTAATTTTAAACATTATAAAATACAATAAGATATTAAGAATATTAAGTATGAAATTAGTCTGGTAAATACCAGTTATAAAAGAATAATAAACATCAGAGCAACAATTTTAAGCTATTAAATATCTTTTAATTAAATTGTTGTAAATTTTATAAAAAGTTTTGATTTTAGTTATCTTTGTCATAACCATAGAAGTATAAAATTATTCAAAATAATTAAATTTAAAATTTAATTTCTTAAGTACAATAACAGCAGTTGACATTTTATAAACTACATCTTGAACATTAATTATAGTTTAACTTTTTTTTATTAGTAAAAATATCAAGATTTTTTTTATTGTTTAATACTTAATTTTTTATTGTCAAATATTTGATTATATTTCATTCTTCAAGATATTTCTTAAACCCCACCTTCTGAAGAATCACGACCACGCTGTTGTTCTAAAAGACGTTCTAGTGGTGATGGCCCAGGTCCTGACCATAAAGACTGTAAATTAGAACCAATAAAAAATTAAGTACAAACAAGAATATTTATGTATAGAACAATTTAAAATTTTTTTGTTCAAGTTTAATTTATTTCTCAATTAATCATACATTAGATATTTTTTAAGTTCAACTCTTAACAAATGATTTGTACAGTGCCTTTTTTAAATTTAAAGACATTTTTATAGGGTAATTATAGAAATGTTTAAGAATAATTTTTTATGTTAATTTAAGTATTGGTCTTAATAATAAGTGTATGGATTTGGTTAAGAATAGGCAGTCTCTGTCATGGTCATTATTAATTAACACTTTTTAATAATTAATCATTATTGAGAAATAAATCATAAAAGATTGTAGAAGGAACCAATCGGTAGTTAAAATAAAAAAAACAATTCAATATAAGATTTGGCCTATTTACATGGATTGTACAGTAAAAATAAATGAATAAGAGTTGTACTATAAGAGTGCCACAATACCTTTAATATTACAAAGTTTACCAACATTTATTAAATTCTTGAAAATTAGAAAATATCAAGTTATACCTGTTGATGAAATGTGGAAAACGATATATTATTAGTATCTTGATTAGTATCTATATTTCTAGTCATCATAACATTAGGTTGATTAAATAATGAATAATATGGACTATTGTTAACATTACTATAAAAATTTCTTTGTTGATCATCTCTTAAATTAAATTGCTAAAAAGTTAAAGAAAAATAAAAAATATTGTTTTATAAACAATAGAAATTAAATTTCTTACATTTAAATTATTTTGCAATGGTAGGTTATGATTGATCTGAGAAGGATTAATATTTGACCACACATTGTTAGAAAACTGCCCAACTGAAGTTTGATTTTGAACAAAAGGAAACATTTGAAGTTTTTGTTGATTGCTAAAACAAAAAATTACTTGCATATCTTCTAAAAATAGATTACAAATAAATAAATACTTTTGTGTTTTTATATTATCTATCCAATTAGTAGGAGGTTGTGGCCATCCAGAAAAATTAGGTAGAGGTTGATTAAACCGATAAGAATTATCTGATGAAGTTGGTAAATTATTCACATGTAGATGACTGAAAGAATTCATTAGAGGGTTCATGTTTGGTTTTAATGGTGTGTGTGGCAACTGATATCCAATAGGTGTCGGTTTAATAGAATTTTGATCTTTTTCGAATTCAGATGATGTTTGATCAAGATCTTCTAAAGACCACTTAGCTTCACTGCCAGATGAGGAGCTTGGTGAAGGAGTACGAAATTTCACCTACAAAAAAAAAAAAAATAATTTAATAAATATATATTCTCTAATTATATTAATATGATGTAGGAGTACTTGTTTTCCTTCTGACTCTTGATTTTTTTTAATAACTGATTCAAAGGCTACATTACTTGTTACTGATTTGGCATCTGAGATGTTTGATTGAAACTTTAGAATACCACTTCTTTTATCACCTGGAAATATAAAATATTAATAATATTAATAATTAAATAAATTATAAACAGAGTAATTTATTTATCATAAACCACATAGTTAGTCAAAAAATAAAAATAATATTAAACAATAATTTGTTGGTTTCTTTTAGTAGTATGTTTTTATTTAATTTATCAATTATTAAGTATTTCTTATGTGTCAAATTTTATGTCTCAAAAGAGTAGAAACTTTACTTTTTTAAATTGAATCATACATAACTAACCAGTTTATTTACTAGATAACTGAGATAAATAGATATAATAATTAAAAAATAAATGATTAATAACAAAATTTAGATCATTATATCTACATAGGTGTGTGGCCCAGAGCTGTCTATAGAATAAAATAACAACATATATATCTCCAGTCATATAATAATAACTTCTGAAATACTAGTTCAAAAGCTGTTATTTACCAATCATTTCTTAATTAGATCATTATCTATTAAAGAAGCAAGTTAACTATGTATGTTGCCATTTATCAATATAAAATTGACACCCTTATAAAGTATAAAGGATAAATTAAAAAAGTAATTATTTTCTGACAGTTCGAGAAATATATGAAACATTAAAAAAAAACACTATTTTAAATACTCATTTTTTATACCTCTATGGCTTTAAAGCGTGTATTATTTTTGTCACTAGATAGTTTTCAGACGCACTCCTACCAAGGTATATACATTTTAATAATTTCCAAAATAATGATCCAAAAGTGGTATTAATTAAGTTAATTTTTCAATTAGATAATTATCTAGTAAATAATAAAAAAAATGTTCAATACTATTTTTATTTTTTAACTAATTAATGTTTCACGTTAAATGAATCATCCTGTATTCTTGTGAATTAAAATATTTACCATTTTGTGATGATGGTAGAATACTAGAATTTATCAATAGACGTTGCTGGTATGATGACAAGGTTTCTAAATCAGCAGCTAAATCAATTGAGTGAGAATTGGACGAACTATTAGGAATTATTTCAAAACTCCACTTTTCATTATCTTGTTTACTAAATTGAAAATAAAATATATGTGATTATTTAAGACTTATTAATATATATTAGTAATTATAAAATTAAAACAATCCTTACATTGCTTTAATTAATGAATTTGGAGTTGCTGAAAACCATATGCCAAAATCAATTAAACGATTAGCTCTTAGAGCATTAGTGTTTATTTTTGGGTCATTATTGGAGTTGAATCTATTTAGAAATAAAAAAAAATTAATATATACTATAAATTAAATATTAAAGGGATAGGGATGGTCAGAAGTGTAAAAAAATAAGTATTTAAAATTTTTTTTTTTGACAGAAGTTTAATTTATTTTATACAACAAATAATACATAGTTAATCAAGAGTCAGACTAGAAAGCCAATTACCGTGGGAACAAAATAAATATGGTGACTCAGCTCACTTAAAAAAATATTATTATCAATCCATAACAAGTAATGATGAATAAAAAAAGATTAGAAATAAATTTTACAATAAATATAGCCAAGAATTTGTCTATAAAATAATTATTTTTCGTCAAAATATAATATAAAATATATTAAACTACTGCCAAAAAAAAAAAAACTATTTAAAATATTCATTTTTTCATCTCACTGGCTGACTACCCTTACCCCATAAGATTATAGAATTTTATATTTTGCTTTACATAAGGTTTGAATGTACTGATTCTAACATTGTAAATCCTTGAAGTAATTTATCTTCTGGTAAAGAAATATGAGTATCTAAAAAACAAAATTTTAAAAATAAAAGATTATGAAATCATTTAAATAAAAAATAACTTAACAATTTTCATGATTTAAGTCTTTTGTTAAACCATTGAGCAATTTGCAAAGGCCAGGCCATATTTGTAGACGACTTCGGAATCCAGGAGAGTTTAGAACACTTAAATCATTTCGTATCCAATCCAAAATGAGTTTAACTAAAATTTAGCATATATTAAAGGAAGTAAAGTTCTAATTTTTATATTGAACTAATTATTACCAGCAGGTAAAGTGTAGTACTCTGAAAATTTTTGATCTTCTTTTAAGGTGTACAAAGGAAGTAAAAAAGCATTGAGAAAAGTAGCTAATAAATCTATTATAGGAAAACATTGAACTTTAACATTAGACTTGTCTTTACTAATGTAGTTAAATGCCAACACATTGATAGCCACCATCTAAAAAATTCAATAAATATTGAGATTAAAATATTTAGAGTGACTGATTTAATTTTGACCACTAGAAATTTTCTAAAATAGTTATAATTTTGAGTATTTTTCTAGGCTTTGTTTATTAATATTTATTTTACAATTTATAAGGAATAAACTAATTAATAAGGGAACCAACTTTGTTTTTTTAAATGGCAACAAACATATTTTACGAGCTTTAAAGAAAATTATTCAACAAAAAAAAATATTGGATCAACAACAACTTTTATATCAGTATTTTGAAAATTCTCACTTAAAATTCTAAACTCAAGGTGAGGCGTGGATGATGTAATTTTTATTACTATGCATAACTTTACACTTTTTCTCCCATTCTCATTTAAAAATATTTATAATTTCCAAATATTGGTTTAAAAGTTGTTATCAACCAAATATTTTCTAAGTTGGATTATTTTCTAATAGCTAAGCTACAAAATATAAATGTTTTTATTTAAAAAATTAAAGTTGGTATCTTTTAATTATACTGTATACAACTGTCACTCTAGTACAAAATAGTCAAAATAAAAATTATTTAGATTTTAAATGATTAATGCTGATAAAAAAAATCATTTTAACAGTTTGGTTTTTGTATAGGAAAGAAAAAATATTTAAAAGTTTAAGGTTTTTTTTAAAGGATTAAATAAGTTTTATTAAAATATTTTATTTTTATGCTCAAGTAAATTCAAAAGTGTTATATTTTTCTGAAAATTATTTTTACATTACTTTCGTACAAGTAGTTTTAATTTTAAAAATTAAACTTAAAATTTTTGTTTTAACAAAGTTTGATGTAATATACAGTGTCTCAAACCGAACTAACAACACTTTTGATAAGATTATACTGGTAAATAAAATTGTAATATTGTGAGATCACGTGGACTTTTATGATATATTTTACTTAAATAGTCAGTGAAAACAAACATTAAAAAAAAAAAATCTGTTTCCAAGAATTATATTTTCTTAAGTTATTTATAACATATCAATAAAATAATGACTTAAACAAAAAATGTAAAAAAGTTTTATTATGAAGTTATGATTTAAGATTTTCTAGTAAATTTAACTCCTTGTTGGTCTAGCATTAATCTGTCAACATTTCCATTCATCAATCATCAGGTTTCATTTGCTCTGGAAAGTTTTTCTATTTTAAAAATTTCTTGATGCAACCTTTCTCTGTGCTCGTCACTCACAGCCCTCAAATTCTCTGGAAAAAGTCCACGAGTGAATCAAAAAAATAAATCTTGAGTGACATGTCGCAACTTAATGCTTGATAGACCAACTATAGCCTGCTAAACTACTCTCCGTAGGTCTCACTTTTATTATTATCCAAAAAATTTGTAACATTCTTAAAAGATTTCTATACTGGTTTTTCTAAACCATTCAACTTTGCTTTGAATATCAAAACTTTTATTAACTGATTTGAGTTCCTATAAAAATACCCACTTTTATCTTTGCATCATTTATTTTAAGGAATTATTCTTTTAGATATAAAAATTCACTTTTATTGCAATTTAATACGTTGACAAAATTTTGATCAGGCCTAATTTGATATGCAATGGAGGAAGAAGTAGTTCAGTTGACTCTATAAGGGGTAAACACTATATATTTTTTTGTCCAGAAACAAAGTACCATATTATTTTATGGTAGTGGTTTGTTCTGTGTCAATTGTCCCATTCTTATAAAAAGTAAAAGAATTTAGTACTTAACCCGCCTGAAGTCCGAGTAATACAGAAACAACTTTTAAACGCCACTTTTATAAGCATTAAAAATAAATTGATAAGATAAAAATATAATTTTTGTTTTTATTTCCTAAAGTAAAAAAATTGTTCTATCTAGGTATACCAATTAATCCAAATTATGTAAAACACTTATTTTCTTTGAAACTATTGAGAATTTTTAATTTTTAAATGAGAAAAATTATTAAATTAAAAAAATTATACAGCAGTACATAATTAAATAATTTTATTTTTAATCCCTTCAGGGTTAAAGTACCTAAGATTAAATTATCTTAACCTATTTTTAACTTATATATGAAAAAAAAAAATAAATAAAAAATTACAAATAATTTTGTTCTTACAATTTGTTTTATCCATCTGTTATAACCTTTTAAATGTATTAAGTGGGTACATAAAAAGGGCAGAATACATACACACTAGTAGAGATGTAAACCTTAACGGATGAAAAAAAAAAAAAAAAAATATTTAACTATGTATTATTGTAAAGTTTTTAAAATCTAATATTTTTGCTCTTTACAAAAACAAAAAATTCACAAAAGTTTCTGAAAAATTAGTGTTATAAAATTTGGATCACCATGTAAATTTGAATAAAATATTTTAAACTTGGAATAATTGTTAAACTTTTAAAATTATTTTGATTAAATGAACTTAAAAAAAAAAAAAATTTTTGTGTAATAAATTAAATATAACAACAAAAAACATTGAAATCCTAACAAATTAATTAATATATTCATTTTTATGAAAAATATTCTCCAATATGGAAAAAAAATTTTACTATTTAATTAAATATTTCACAATTTATTGAGATGTCAAACCTCCCATTTTTTTTGTAATTACTCCTCAAAAAAAGATTGCAAAAGAATAAAATTTCGACCTCTAGTGATAAATAATAAAAAAATATGCTTTGAACAAAATCTAAAAAGGCAATAGTTATTACAAAAAAAAATGTTCAACTAAATGATGATTGTATCATAAGTTATAAGTATTGTCAGTTAGGTTTGAAACACTAATATACTATAATGTAAGAAAAATTTATTTGTTAAAATAAACAAATAAAAAATGATGAATTTTAACTTATAAACATAAACAAAAAAATTGAAATAATTATTTGGTACAAGACAATCTTTTATTTTATTTTACTGAATTCTAAGAATAAAAAAATAATAGTAACCTGTTGTAGCTTGAATGACGTGAAAGATTCAGTGGCAATAAGTGGTGTAAATGATAATGCAAGACTTTTAATGTAACCATCAGAAGTTTGTTGTTTCATGCTATCTTTAGACATCAACACTCCATGAAACGCAAGGAATATTTGAATAAATTCTGTGTTTGAAATTTTAGTTTTATACAGCATATCTTGACTAGAATAAAGAATATAAAATTAAATTTTTTTCAATCTAAGACCTTAAAAGCCTAATTATCAAGGACTTATATACCTAGAGTTTATATATTTGTTTAATGTAACATTAAGGTTGTTTATAGCTGCTAAAAAGGGATGCTTGACATTTATACTTCTCATGTAATAGAAAACTGTGCTTAAACTATCTCCTCGTGATGCCTCCAATAAAGCCAATTGATTGTATGGCTGTCCGCTGTTAGGACTTAGTTGAACTGCATATCTATCATAATAAACTAATTAATCAGTAAAATATTTTAAGTTAATGTTAAAATAAATAATTTGAATTTTAGACTTAACATTTCTTATTTATTCATGTGATAATAAAAAAATTGAGTAGTTTTTAGCAAATATTTAAAAAAAATACAGAATTAATGTAAAGAATATTTTAATATAATAATAATTTATAATATATACCTGTAAAAAGATTCAGCCTGTCTATTCTGATTACGATAACGAGCAATATCACCTAAGTGTACCAAACAGTATTGGCAAATATAATTACAAGAACTTTTTTGTGGTTTACGTAAATATGTTGAGCTTTGTATTTTGTTATCCATATCACAAAAGTCATTTAGTTTTCTAAAAAGTATTCATGAAAAAATGAGTTAATAAAAAGTTTTATAGTCAGAAGTAAAAACAGTAGTAAAACACTTTTTGTCATTTTTAGTTTATATTGCCACAAAATATCATGATTTTAAAAATCTCTCTCTAAAATTTAAATTAAAAACTTGATTGAAAAATCAAAATTTTAAATATTTCTAATTATAAGATTCTAAAAAAAAAAAATTAATAGTTTTCCTGAAAAATGACAAGTATTCATTTACTGCTTTTTTAACTTTATAATATTATACAATATTATTAAGAATTCAGTATACTTGTGAAATGGCAAATCTAAATCAAATGTAAGACAAATACTATGCAACAGCATGAGATAGAAGCCATATGCTGATTCTAGACAAGATAAAAATAAAGCATTCCATTCATTTCGTTTTGCACTCTGTAAGAACAATTTTATAGTTTTAAAATTTAGACATTGTATTATAATAAAAATAATAACTTTTTTTTCTTTAGCAAGAAGTTGAAGCTTATTAATATTATTTTTGAATCCATGGTTCCAAAGGTCTTGCTCGACTTTTTGGTCCAATGCATACTCCAAATCTAGCATCAACAATTGTTTGTAAATTATCTGTAAACAATGTAAAGTATTAGTAGCACACTATTTAAGTATATTAGGTGCTTAATAAGTAATGTACAGGATTTATATTGCTATAATTATCTTAAATATTTGACTTATTTCCCTATATAGTTAAATTTTAATCATACTCTAAGTTGTTGTTGGCAAGCTAAAGTCTCAGAATTGTTTAAGTCTTTAGACGCACAAATTTGTTCCTTAAGCTGGTCAGCTTTTCTAAAAAAATATCAACATTTTATTAAAAATATAAAATAAAAAAATTATTTTTATGATAATACTTTAAAGTTTGTACAGCAGCGATGGACACCATTGTATTCAAGTTCCATACATAAAAAAAATTACAAGATCAAAGTTTCATAACCGTGTACTAACACGGTCGAATAAAGCACTATTTTTTATTCAAATTCATTACATTGCTACAATAACATTAGAATATATATTCACTTTCCACATTAAGTGCTCAAACTCTACTCGGTTGCAGAAAAATTTATGTTATAATATAATGAACTGTTTACATAAGGTACTTATACCTACTAATTAACCGCTAGTAGTAGTATTATCAATTTATAGATTAACACCACCAATAAGAGTAGTGATAAGAAATTTATATATAGTAAAACTCATTCAAAACTATTTTAAACACATATTTAATTTATTAACCATTGTTATATGGTCATGTACTAAAGAAATTGATCTTTATTAGATAAGAATGCAAAATTAACATCCGAATTTTAATATTATTGTTGTAAATAAATGTAAATAGTTTATTAACTTAAAATAAACATTGATATCAGGTTTTACAATCATTAGAACATAAATACATACAACAATAGGGCATTGGACACACTGTTTAACAATGCGCTATCTGAAAGACCTGGACATGGCTGCCGACCGTTGATTTTTTTTAGTTAATAATGTTAACATTTCTGAAAATTTGTACACTAATTTAATAAATTACTAGGTCGTGAACCATAAGTAAAATTTAGTTGATTAATTATCATATCGCCAGACATAGCTGATTACAAGCTTAATAGTACTTGTCAGCTCTAATTTAATGGTCGAATTCATAATTGAGCACTGCAGTCGGTGGATAGCCTAATATCAATTCTCCTTGGGTAAGTTAGGAAACAACAAGGAAATAACCGTACTTTTAACAGTCTCATTTTGTGATGGTCTTTGTGATTTCAGTAGTGATGTCTTTGCGCTCTTGTTTGAATTATCATTGGATTCGAGATTAAAAATTATTCAAACATTCTAACGTTAATAATTTTATGTGATTAATTATGTTATAATAATTTTTCATAATTCTAATTCTACATTATTTATTGAAAAATAAATTTTACTCTATGAAATTTTTCTGTATGGGGACCTATTTTTAGTGTAAATTATGTTCATGCGTTGAAATATATTAATACATTCTAATAAACTATCATAACGGCCTTAAAAATTTATCATTAATTAAAATCAACAAAGATTTGTCATTCATATAATGTGAAGTTAACATAATACAATTTTCAAAATATATTATATGTTGAGTTAATATTTATAACTTATTGGATGTGTTTAAAATATATATTTATCAAAATAGTAAATTATACTTCAAATGCTTAGAATCATTTTAAAATTTAGATAAATAAACATGAACACAGTAGTATTCATTTATGCATTTGATCCAAATATACATTGTTGAATTAATTTATATCTAATTCTACTTTTTTATAGATATTATATATAAGGATTTCTTGTAGTTTATCAAATAGAAAAATAAAAAGAATGTTATTTGGTTGAGAGTTATAGTAATATTCTGTATTACTTATTAAGAGTATTGATATCTCATTTTTTTTTTATTTTTACACTAACAAATAATATACATTAAATTGTATGCATGGAAAGTTTTATTGATTTATTTGAATTATTAAAGCTGAGGATCTACCGAATAATTAATTTATAATGAAAAAAAATAGAATTGTCATAATATTTTCTCTTATAAAATTTATTTTTTAAATTGTGTTTTGCTATTATGTAAAATATAAATTTAAATTTAAGTGAATTCTATTTTTTTTTCATTTTATATGAAATTAAAAAAAAATGCATACTTTAAAAAGTATTTTTTTTATTAATTTAAGAATAAACTAAGAAAATGAACAAAAAAAAAGATAAGTGGGATATTTGCCGTACATGTGGAAACACTGGAGATATTGAAATATTTGGTCGTGATGGAATCGCTTTACAATTAGAAGAAAAAATTAATACTTACTTACCAATAACTGTGAGTCTACTTAAATTAATTTTATTGATTTATTATTTTATTGGTTACTATATTTATTGTACGTGTTTCTTTAGGTTTCAATTAATGACTATTTGCCTCTTAAATTATGCAGTGTATGTATTAGTCGACTAGAAAGTTGTCATCATTTAATTGTATCAACAATAGAAATGAATAAAACTCTTGAAGAAGTTATGAAAAAACAGCAAATTAAAAATAATTCATACAATTTTGTAAGTTTAAAGATAAACATAATTTAATACATTTTAGTCAAAGACGTATGAGGTATAAAAATTCAATTGATAAATTGGATTTTGTTTTAATTTTTTTAGGATAGTAATGATGATAGTGCAGTTGAAGAAATAGCAGTAGATCATGATAGTACACAAGCTGTAGAAGTAATGGATATTAATTCTGTTAACGAAGAAAATATTTTAACAGTAAAAGAAGAATATCCAGTTAGTAGTGAATTAATATAATACTATTTCCCTTTAAATTACTTTTTTTATCTTAATCATTATTGTAAAAAATACTTTTTTTATATTCAAAGAAAATATTTAAAAAAATGGATGAAAAAGTATTCATAATATTAATAAAAACATGTATTCAAAATATATTTTTCATTAAAGTGAAGTGGGGTAATTGTAAATTAATTTTTTGTCTTAGAATATTTAGCAGATTTTATTGTATATTGAAAAGTCTAGTCCTTATGTTTTGTTATCATATTAAATGAAAATTCAAAATAAAAACTTATTCATTTATTAAAAAAAATTTATTTGCAATCATCCTACTTCACCTTAATTAAAAAATGATTCAAATAATTTGATAATATTTAAAAAAGAATAGTCTATTTAATATAAAATAATTATTACATTTAAAAAATATAAATTTTACAAACGGATGTCTTGTGATGTATTGTTACTAAAAAAAAATTATAAAAAGTTTTAATAATTATAACAAATTATATATTACACTGAGTGTCATGACAATTCTGTGCATGGACAATTGAGCCAACTGGATAGTTCAACGCTAAATAAGTTTTATTGAATGACTATGTTATTTATAAAATAAGTAAAAAGAAATGATAAAAAAAGAATACTTTAATTGAATATTTTACTAAATTGATCTTAATTACTTTTATAATTTATTGTAGTATGACTCTGTCGATGTAGTAAGTATTGGTACTGATGATCTTTGTGATGAAGGATCAGCTGCAGAAGATGAAGAATTAGACATAGATAAATCCCTCGAAGATGGCGATGAAAATGGAAAATTTCAATGTTCTAAATGTCAACGTGTATTTGATTTAGAAACTAAAATGCGACGTCACATATTTATGCAACATAATCCTGTTGAAATGGAATGTTTTCATTGTTTTGCAAAGTATGATTCAATGTTGCATTTTGAACGTCATGTTGCTACACATTTTACAAGAAATGAATATTTATGTGACTTTTGTCCTACAATGTTTAATCGTGTATCTGGTCTTCTTGACCACTTAGCTAAACACAAAAATGAACGACAACGGTTTACTTGTTCAGAATGTGGTAAAGTACTAGCAAATCGTCTTTCATTTACAATTCATCAAAGAACTCATACTGGTGAAAAACCTCATGCTTGTAGATTTTGTGACCGGACTTTCTCACAAGTAAGAATAATATTTTAATATTCAAAAAAAAAAGTAAAAAGTAGGCTTAAATATTTGTTTAATGTTTTTTTTTTGTTTAATATTTGTTTAATGTTTTTTTTTTGTTTATATTTATGTTAATTTAACAGTGAAAAATGAAATAAGTCTACTTTTCTGAACAATTTTTTTTTAAATATATTATTTGTTTTTTTTTCAAAAGTATTTAAAAAAATGAGTAGAAATACGTGGTTTGAAAGATATAAAGTTTTAAAGTTGCCAAACTAGCAAACTAAAAATATGGCTAAAATATCATACAATTATTATGTATTATGGATTTTTTGCAATATTAAGTACAAAATCAAGCATGATGTTAAAATAGTGTTGTCCTTTTGTTAAAACTTAATGAAAATAAAAAATTAATTATCGGTAAAATAAATTAAGGATTACCTTTATCTGCTGCTTTCGGTTACCAGTTCAAGTCCCTATGGGGTTTTTGTGGGATGGAGCTTATGCCCCAAATTTCTATAGGAAAAAAACTTTTGTTCAATTCCAATCTATGCAATTAAATGCATTAGACTAAAAGGTACAGTAATCAAATTGTTACATAAAACAGTATAATATTATTATTATTAATAGAAATTATTATCAAAAATTATAATTGTTAATATAAAAAATATAGCATTTTTTAAATACTATTAATCTACAATAAAAACTAATTAAAAAAAAAAAAAAAAAAAAATTGAAATAAAGGGTACTTTCTAAAGTAAACTTTTACTTTTTAACTTAATTTTAGTCTTGCTTATGTATTTAATTATGTAAACTTGAAAATGAAAAAAATTATTGAAATCTTGAAATTTTCGTAATCATTAAAACGTTAATCCTATAAAAGATATATTGCTTAAATGATTATAATAATAAATATTTATGTTTTTTATAGATATCATCTAAACAATATCATGAACGTACACATACAGGTGAAACAACCCACCATTGTGAATTTTGTGGAAAAGGATTTAATTCTAAATTGACTCGTGATACTCATAGACGTATTCATACGGGTGAAAGACCTTTTGGTTGCAAACAATGTAATGCTACATTTCGATGTCTAGCAAATTTACGACAACATGAAATGGTTCATGCTCCTGTTAAACCATTTCAATGTGAAGTTTGTTTAAAACGTTTTGGACGTCCAGAAAAAGTAAGAGTTCATATGCGAACTCATACTGGAGAAAGACCTTATAAATGTCCAATATGTGGACGTGGTTTCACACAAAAAAATGACATGCTCAAACATACAAATGTACATAATAAACCAGCACGACGTGGAAGTTCACAATTAATAAAAAATGAAATTGTCGTACCTTTAAATTCAGCACCTAAATATGTCAACATAAAAGATCTTAAGGAAATATGTTTTGATGTTTCAAATAGTTATGATAGTTCAGAAAATGATACTAATAGTTCAATGACAATCATTTCTGAAGAGCAAGCATAACTCATAGTTATAAATTTTGGTTTAATATAATAATAACTAAAAATATTTTTAAGAACATAATTTTACTTTTTCAGTTATCTTTATTAATCATAATTAATGTAAATATTTATATATAATGTAAATAATTTCTAGTTAATTATAAATTTTTATTATTTAACTTTATTGTTTTTGTACATTTATCATTTGTATTAATTTAATAATTATGAATGACCTATGATCAGATTAAATGTAAAATTTGATTTTGTTATTATGTTATATTTTCAAATGATAAATTCTAAATCTGACAATGATGATTAATTTTTTTAACATCCTGAATATGAAAACTTTAAAAAAGAATACTTAAGAAAAATTAAATGCCATTGCTTGCAATTAATCAAAAATTGAAGGATTGATGGAATAAGGACATATTTTAAATAAATGTGACTATGTACTTTGGTACAAAAGCAGATTTATTATTTAGATTTAAAATTGTTAAATAAACAATTTGTTGAACTCACAATGACAATTTTTGAAATTTACATTAGAATAATATTTGTCAAAGTCTGTTAAAGATGAGATTTTTAATCTCCATTTTCCATATTGTTTTATCTCCACCTTTACTAAAAAAATGAAATTAATTTTTGGGGGTATAAATGTTTATATTAGTACTGAAGCACCCACAGTCATCGGGGATGTATTAATAGCATTAAGATCTATATGGTATGGAATATATTATTACCATAAAAGTGTTAATAAAAAAAATATCGGAACCTAACAGCCCCATGCAAACTACTCAACTAATTAAATATCAAGCCTTACCCTGATCAAGAGTTACTGTAAAGGTTGGATTCAAAGTTTCTTCAACAGGAATCTTTAAACCTTATGTTTTCTACTTACTCGCGTATCCACTATTATTAATATATTTTACTTTAAATAAGTAAATAAAAAGTTAAATTATTTTTGTATTTCTTTAAACAAGTTGTTTAAACTAATATATTGGTTTAAATAAAGGAGATAAAAGTTTACATAAAAGGAGTAAACAAAACAAAGAATACAAAAACGATATTAAATACCCAACACAGTGGAGACGTTCAATAGTTGGGATAAGTATTGATAATATTTGTCAGTGATTTTAATTACTATCATAAGAAACGTTTCGATGCAAATGTATAAATAGTTTTTTTTATTTTTAGAAACAATTGTGGAGTATTTCAAAAGTCACATAAACTCTTATTTTTTTAATTAGATCCTGATTACTAGTTTTGTGATATATAAGTATAACACATGAATAAATTACATATTATAGAAATTAAATTTTTTTTATGAAATTAATATTCAATATTTTGTATTGTAATTTTAACGAAGAAATAATATAAAAAAATAGAGCAGTTGTTTATTTCATTAACTCTATGGCAAATGATATTTATAATGTAAGTATGGATTTATCAAAATAAAATAAGAAAATTAACTATCTTAATTTCATTATCCTGACAATCATTATTATTTCATTTATGTAATTAAAATTGTAATTATAATTACAAACCATTGGTAACTAGAACATTTTTTTTGGAAAGTGTAGTGTCTTTTTTTTTTTAATATACTTATTAGAATAACATTAAAAACTTCAATATATATATAAATTAAAACGTAAACTAACATTTTTTTTTTGTAAAGGGGGTTTTAGGAAAATGGGACCCGTATTTATTCCCTAACAATATGACTATACCGTTTAACCTAAAATATAAGCATAAATAATAATAAAAAAAATATACCAACACAAAAAATGTAATTTTTAAACAAAAATAAAAAATTTTAACTCCGGGGACAGTATTATATAAAAAATAAGATGTTGGAAAATAAAAAATTGAATAAAAAAATTTCTATTATACATATATTTTAATTTACGATTTAAATACATTTTTTAAATATTTATAGTAATTTATAGTTGAAAATATCAAACATGAAACTATAAATTGTAACGCACAAATGCCATGTTTTTTAACTACGGCCTACATTTGTACATAGAAGATAAGTCGTTAGGTCATTTTTTTTTAACTTATAGTGTGTAATATAAGCTTTAATTTAATATTTGAAGCTCAGAGTATTTCCAGAATATGTTCAAAAATAAATTAAAAATTTAACCTTTAATACAAAAGTTACTATTTTGAATAACCCCCTTTTAGGGATACCAAGAATCAGATTTTTTAAATAATTTATATTAAATAAAAGTTGAAACTGTTGAACCGTTGAAAAAATTCGACCCACTTAGAGCTAAAAAGAGTAGTGATTGATACTACATAAAATAAAAAAATAATAATAATAATACACATAATTTTAAAATTAATAGCTTCTCAGCTTAGCATCAAAGTTGAAAAAAATGTATTTATAATTTTTGATTAAACAACTCAAAAGAGTTTATTTTTCATTAACTAATATTTTTACAACATTGTTTTAAATAATACCGAAATATTTAAAAATAAAATATCTCAAATAACCACTATAAAATAAAATTATATGTTTATATTTGATTTATTTTAATTTAAAGAAGTATTTTGAACTTATATAATTGTTAGAAATAGATAGTTTTACAATTTTATGACAAATAATTATATTGTTTAAATAATAACGTAGTATAAAATTTATAGAAGACATAACATAAATTATACTTTTTACATAGTTTGATAGTATCTTTAATAACCTTGGATATTAAATTACCACTAATATTTAAATAATTTTTTTGAAATATATAGTTGAAAATTGTTATTATTAGAAAGACAATAGGTATCAAAATAGTTTTAATTAATATACATAGTTTTACATGGATTAAATACATCATTATGAGGCCTAAAGATTTTGTTTAATAATATTTATTTTAATTATGTAAAATTACTGTAAACATTAAAAGAATGTTTAAATTACTTAACAATAGAAAAAGATGTTTAAAATTGACATTAATTGATTTATCATGCGTAGTGTTACTGTTTACGTCAAAAACTACTATATACATAAATATAATCACAGAATTATTAATAAAAACATAAAAAGTAATCAATAGTAACAATATTTAAAATGAACATGTTTTAAATATAAAGCTACCAGAAATTTTGAGTAAATGGAACACAACTTTAGAACTCGATTTAAACTTTTCATAATAGTAGCTGATAAGTATTATTAATAGCATTGGGAAGTGGATAGAAGACAGAAAGTTTCCATTTAATGTCTTATATATGTGGCCTACTAGGCACAGATACAAAGAGATCTTAGTCTCCCAGATTAAAAATTAGCTTCTCATAGTTAAAAAATCATATTTATAAGATAAATTTCAATAAAATTAAAATCCTCTATATTTTTACTCTAGAAATTTCTGGAAAAGGGATTGCTGGAACAATGACTCCTCAAAATAGGCCTTTATCTTGAGTTTAATTGATTTACTCAAAATTTCTTTGTGTTCGATGTTTGTAGTTTGGAATATTAGACTCGAATTTTTAAGGCAGTGAGAGTAGCCATTGCTATTAGAGATATTAGTATTTACGCTTAGTCAATGTAAGAATATATTTAAAACTTAAGTTTTTTAATCAAAATATTTCATTAAATCTAAAATTCCTAAATAACTTATTTAAATTCAAACGAGAATCAAGACTTATTAACCTATTATTTTAAAGTTAACTCATTTAAAACAGAGATCCAATTAATTATTATTATTGTTTATCAATTATTAAAATTAATAAACACATTTTTTTAAAGGTGCTTATACAGGGCTGTTTCAAAGTTAAAAGTATGGGTGGCTAAAAAAATAATTTTTGAGTAGTAGCTTTTTCCCTACTCAAATTTTCTCTTAGAATGCGCTTATGTTGGGGCTTTATTCAAGTATTGAAGTGTATTTTGATTTTTGGTTTCACCGAAAATTAAAGTCTTTGTATGCTTTTACTTATGTAAAAATTGATATAAAGTTCAAGATTTACTTTATGAAATAGGAGGTAGGACTTTATAAATTTTCAAATAGCATAATTATTTTATTCTTCTTTTAAGGTTTATACTTATACTGAAAAATAAACAAGTGATATTTCTAGTTAATATCTATGTATTTTATAAAGTTAAATAGCAACTGTAGTAATTCAAATTAATAGATGTTTGGCTGTTTACAGTTTTTAACATGCCAGTACTTTTCGATAATATAAATTTCTTCGAATAAAAAACAAAACATTTGTACCTTACTTTTAAAAAACATTTTGAACTACAAAAAAAATTAATTTTATTTTTATATTGATTTATATTAGCTATTAACAATGAAATTTAATCGAAAATTATTTTTGAGATGTATTTTTAACGTCTGAGTATTTTTATAGCAAGAAAATATTTGTATTAAAATTTAAATAAGGCTTCTAGAAAACGGAAAACTAAAGAGGCCATTCTCTTACATTTTTGTTTTTATGAGGTTTTTAATCATAAAACAAATTTTAAATTGTATTTTATAGTTTTGGAGTTCAGAATATATTAAAAAAAATTTAACAATATTTATTGAACATTTTCACAAATATGGCGAGTTGTAAAATTATGGTAAATGTTATCATTAGAGGTTATAGTCACAACTAGGAGGGGTGGATAGAAATAAATTATCGCCCCAGTTGACACCCTTAAAATGTCGAGGGTGCTAATTGTAATTTCCACACATACTTAAAAGTACTTCAAAATAATAAAAAAAAAAATTAATTAAAAATTTTATTCTAGTTGCGCTTATATTGAGTATCAAAAATTTTTTTGTAAGGAGGGGAAATAAAATAGTTAACTTATTCGCAGTTAATAATATTTATATTTACTACTTAGCCAGGTATTTTTAAGTTTTAATTTTATAGTGACTGTTATTGGTATACCGTGAAGTAATCATTAAACACAGTTTTTAAAGTAATAAATTTCTTGTTTGCTTATAAAATTCATTATATTATAAAATTTATTATAAGTGGACCATATAAAAATAAAATTCGGTCTATTTGATGCAATTTAGTAAAATATTTTTTTAACAAATGCATTTGGTGTTAAATTATACTATTTACAATGCATTTGTTTAATAATAGAACTGTCCATAATTTAGTGCGCATTATGCTTTTGATTATTCAACAAATAAATAAATAATTATTTTATCAGAATTTAGTATTTCTATATTTTTGAATATTAAAAATATCTTTTTATGAGTCGGGTGTAACAAAAAAAAGTACTAATACGTTCATTAAAGCTCACCTGTAGCTATTAAGTTACAAAACCACATTCACAACTTTTTTTATTTTATAAAGTTATGAGCTAAATATTAATTTAACGTGGAGGAAAATTGTTGAAAAATTAGATTATAATATTGGTAATAGTCTGAATCATTAAAGTTTCAATATTTATGATTTATGATTTTGCATGTTCAATCCTATGGTAGGAGAAGCTGTGCAGCTTCTACTTGAAGTTCTTTTGTTTTCTGACTGAATAATACTCCCAACAGCTCTGTTTTCATTTTGATCATCCGTATTGTCATTAGGACATTTCCGATCATATGGACCAATGAGACCACTGAGCGCGTGCAAAGGTATGCGGTACAATCGTAACGGTTTTGTTTCGGGTGATACTACAAAAAAGTTATACAATAGTCATCATTAACGTGATCATTAATGTGATCATTATTGTGATCATTAAATAAATAATTATTATTTTACTTAAAGCTAAATGCAGACTAGTTTACTTCCTAATTCTAGTTATTATTACGTTTGATTATTGCACGGTGAACGATCTTGGATAAGATGCTCATTTACTGAGAAATTATTGAAAATTTATAATTTTTCTAATAAGAAAAATTATGACCAAGTAACGATTTCGTTTCAATAACTTTTTTTAAATTTAATTGATTGTTCATATTTAAAGGTTCAAAATTACCTGTTGTTGTAAATACCCATGTATTGACTTTTTTGATATTAGCGTTAATAATTGAACATCTTATTTCATTGATGGGATAAGAATTTAGTTAGTACTGTGTGAGTTTTTATTTTATTTACAATATATGGAATATATGTATCATCAAAAATTGGGCCGTAAAAGTAAAACCAGTTTACAATTATGAAGTTTAAATAAAATAATAACATTATGTTGACTTATATTAAATAATATAATTACAGTGTGGTGAAGAAGGTGGAGACATGCTTTCACGATCAGCTTTTTGTTGATCCATTTGTAATCGTTCCATTTTTCCATGGAAAAATTCTGGAGCAGTAGTAGCGAAGAATATATCATTCTAAACATTAAAATTTATAATTATCAATATGAGATTTTTTTTTATATTACACAACTCAATAAAATTTGGGTCATAAAATTTTAATGACATTTTTTTATTGTTTCGGATAGGTTTTTTGATGTATATATTCGGAATGAGCGTCATAAAACCTATCAGAAACAAGAAAATTTTTTACTAAAATTTCATAACCCAAATTTAGGTTTGTTGTATTATTGTATGACACAATGAATGATCGAACACAACTTTTAGCTTCGATGCGAAGCTGAGATTTTAAAGTTTACCTTGGAACATATAAGTTTTAATTTTGGCATAGCCATGGTTTGAACTAAATTTCCATTGATTATAAGTCGAATTTCCATTGTGTCTGTTGTAAATGCAATAATGTATGGAAAAGAACAGACTAAAAAAAAGAGTAAAATTATATATTTATAAATCAAATGTTATTCTATTTTTATCTTTGCACATTATTGATACAAAATAGAACTATCGAATTTTATAAATTGCAATTTATTTTGTAAATTTGTATATTTATAATGGGTTTAAGTAGCGCATGTTCCCTCATGCTATCGTCAAATTTTTGATCTAAAATATTAATCTTGAAAATAAGGTTGTAGAAAATAATATTTATCATAAAAATATGAAAATATTTTATAAGATTTATTTTAGCCCCTGCTCTAGAAATTATTTAATTAACTAAACTTCAAAAATGTAAATAAATGCAATAAATAGATAAGTGCAGGTAACCTAGCTGAAATTTTTAAAGTTTCAACGAAAATTTTATTTGAAAATCTAATTAATGCTTATTAAACCACTAAATTGTTTTTGTGTTACCATAAGTATAGGCTCCCCATTTCATAGTTTTGATTATATGTATATAAAAAGAATTATATATATATATATATATATATATATATATACATAACTATATACTTTGACAACAATGGCTATTAGCAAACATTTTATTGAAATTAAAAAAAGACATTCTAAAAAATAGCCTTATAGTCAACTTGAAGTACAATTTATAAAATTGATTAATAAACCAATTATTTTTTTAACAAAATATATTTTAAATTATTATTAATTACCTATGTCTTTTGGAATAGAATTCCAATGGAAATCAAATTCGGTTGAGTTGTTCATCTCACTAAGTTTCTGAAAATGGCAAATATCTGCAATACATCAATTAAATTTTATTTACATCGGATAAATAAATATATGTGGAAAAGTTTACTTAAAAACATATCATGAAAATTAACATTCAGAAGTCTTATGTAGTAGTTTTATTTGTCTAATTTTTATAGCCAGAATACAGTGTGCTTCTTGTTATTATTTATTCGAAAAATACTGCAAATATCATAAAATAATCAGTTTTACATCCTTCTATTTTTCGAACTTAACATGCTACAAAGCGTTTTGCTCTCTTTCACATGTTTAGAAGTCAAAGATTGTTCTTGGCTAGGCCATTGATGGACGGGACGGGTACTATGGCCAGCTCGCACCAGACATCATCAACAAAAAATTCACAAGAAAAATTTCGTTGGCACCCTGAGGATCGAACCCGAGACCCCGTGCTCCAAAACATACACTTCTACCCACTAGGCCAAGCCGACTCCAAATAATGTTGATATTATACTACGGTAAAATATTTTTCCTATTTAGCTTTTGCTTGTAAATAAAAAGCAGGGTTGTTAAAAAAACTAATAAAAAGGTTTATGAATATTAATATATATTTTGAATTTTTTTTTATCTCATTTTTAGTAATAAAAATCCATAACTACAGTTTTCTTAAACGGGCTCTTTTATTTTTAACTTAATAATATGATTGAAAAAAATTACTAATAATTTAGTTTTTGTAATTATTTTTGTCTGATCAACCATTAGCGTTTTAAAAATTCTTTAAAGATTTGGGTTTTTAGTAAAAAATCTATCAATTTGTTTTTATAATACCGGTGGTAACAATAATCTCTATGAATAGCTAATATATTATTTATTATGGTAGTTATCAACATAAATTATTCATATTGGTTGATCAATAATGCATATTACCTTAATAAATAAAAAATGGGTTATGTGACTCCATATAAAAATAAAAACTACTGTATTTAAAATAATGAAATTAATAAATTGTGGTCTAAAATCACTTAACTTTAATATGTTGTAACAGATTTTGTAACATTCATCAGATAAACAAAATTATTTTTGATTTTTATTTTCTATCATATTATCAAGTTTAAAACGTGTTCTTGTTTCAGAAAATTGTAGCTAAAGATTTTATCCCAGAAATTAAAACAAAATATTTATGTACATATCGATGTTCCAGTTCAAATCTTTTTAGATTTTTTTGATTACTAAATTTTATTAGCTACTTTACTTAATGATACTAACTCAACATTTTCAGTATAATGATTTAAAATTTTTTTTTAACAAGTTAGTTTTTTTATACTAATACATTTTCTCTTCATAAAAATAAAATACTCTCAACAGTTTTTAAGAAAATAAGTGTCTTACCAAATTTTTATCACTCTGAATCATCAGTATAATAACTTATTAGTTATGCTGAACTAATAAGTTATTTATTATTTTTAGTACATATACGATCAAAAAGTATTAAAATATTATTTAAAATACGAAAAAGTATTCGGATTCCTTTATAACTGTTATAAAAAACATGTTCGAACTGACACTATAATCTCATTTTATACCTATTAAAGGTATATAATTGCAATAGAATTAACCATTGAAACGTAGTTTTAAAATTCATTTAAGAACTGTTTATAAAGTGTATAAATTGTTGGTAATGTTCGCAAAACTCTAAAAACAAACATTTTAAGAAAGCATTTTCTACGTATAATTAAATAAATAATTTTTTTTTTTTTTAACTAAATAGAAGGCATATTTATGTTGTTATTATGTGCAGTGATGTAGCAAGCAATAAAAATTTTCTTTTTGAGTATAGTCATTGAACATTATTTAGCCAATGCAGCCATAGGCTTATCCCTAGGGAAGCACAAATCAATTCTTCACAATAATTTTGGTACCACCATCCCCAAATTCCCAAAGGGATCTATTTTATATAATAATAATATATCTTAATAGTTCGAAAGAGGACATTTATTATACTTGTGGTAAGTCTACAATAGATTCCTAATTATACTCAAAATTTTTATAGTAAAAAAAAAAACGGGTAATCATATATCTGATTTTTAATCTTAGTAAATAAAAATATCAATTAATTATTTTATATTATGGATCAACATTTCATTTTTACCTGATTAATAAATATCAATTAAAAAAAATAATTTTAACTTTGGCTATTTTGCAATTCTTTTAAATTTGACTTATTTATTATGTTAATAATAGCAAAACTAAGATATTTTTTTATAAAACATTAATATGGGAAATTTTCTGTTACGTTCAAAAATAAAAATCGTTTTATTAGTGTTTTTTTTTTTTGTTTTGACTACCCATATTTCTAACTTGTTGTTACGTTACTTGGATATTTCCTGCAAATCTTTTAAAAACTCGTAAACTATTACCCAAATTGAATAACTGGTATTAAAATCTCAAAAAAATGTATAGTGTAAGAGTAACCGCAAAAACTCACTGTTATAACATAACAACAGTTCGGGTTCCTCATCTTCGTAAAGGTCGGTTGCTGCAACTAAATGTGCTTTTGACCCTTCTTGGACAGCGAATAAACGCTGTGCAGTACACGCTCCGTCTTGAATGATATCGAACTGATGTTTGTAGCCAACGCAAATACTACACGTTTCCGTATTCACAGTTGACTCAATTAATGTAATGATTGATGGTTGTTCGGCTATTTGAAATTCCTGTAGATAATTCAAAACACGCATTAGTTAATATTATGTAAATATATTTATTTATATTACAACTCAAAGCGTAACTTTGCGTTGTATTACTGCGCATTCAACAAAATACGAATAGCGTGGGGTGGCAGGTAAATTGAACTTATACACAGTTTAAAATAATAATTATAATTTACCCTGAGGTGGACGAACCCTTCCACTGTGTCTGTATCACTAGCTGGACACCAAGCCGTCCACGCTGCTGAATGTTTCCATTGCATCAATGTCAGCTTACGGTTCACACAAACCACCTGAGTGATGACAGGCAATTAATATTTCTTCAACAAAAGCTTTGGTATTATTTAAGTTAAAATATGCAAATGTTTCATAATAGTCTTTATAATTTATTAAAATCATTGAAATTTATTCGTTTGTTTTACCAAAGATTAAGAAATTAATTAAAAAAATTAAATGTAGTGTTTATTCACTTAAATATTTTCAAAAATTTAAGTAAACATTTTTAAATGAATGAATGAAAATGGTTTCAGTGTAGGAAAAATATAGCTAATTTGTTTAATTTCAGTAAATTGTATTAGCTTTAATATGACGTAGGATTAAAGAAGACACATTTTTCGGAACAATATCAAAAATTGAAAAAAAATAATTGGTATGCTTTTCAAGCCCCTACTTTAGTACTTTGATTTCTGATTGGATTTTTAAAAAAGTATGTTGTTGGTAAGGCAAATATCAGATATTTTAGATTCTAAAGTAAAATACAAAAATTTTACTATAAACTGTATTTTAAATTTATTTAAATATAAAATGAAAATGAAAATGATCAACATTAGCTGTTATTTAACAACTGTAATTTGATGAAACATTTTTCTTAATTACGGGAATTGAAAAAAATATTTAATTTAATTAGATGTGTTTGATCTTTTGACGATCGTTAAAAAAATTGGTCCAGTAAGAGTGGAGTAATGGATTATAGTAACACAAAAAAAAAAAAAAACAGCAAGGCAAAACTAATAGCTTCTCATCTACGCACCAAAGCTAAAATTTGTTATAAAATATATTACATTTTTAATGTGCCAAAAGGAATATAAATGGAAAATTAGCAAAAGTGTATGATATTTTTGAATACACCGAGTTGTTAAATGAATATAAAGCATCACTTTATAATATAATAAAATATGGTCAAGTTGATGAAAAAACGATATGCATATTAGTAAATATCGATTTCACCGATTGTAAAGATATTATACGTACAATATTTTTTGTAGATAACACGGTATGAATCTTTGCAAACATAAAGTTATGTAAAATGCTTCTAGGATGTTTGATATAATTTGAAATTTATATTTATATGAATAAATTTGATGTTTTAAAAAGTTTATTTTAAAAATTAAACACAAAAGTATTTTAAGTTTAAAGTGTATTTTAAAGGTATTCAAATTTAAAGAAGTTAAGATTTAAATGTAATTAATGAAAATTACGAAATAGAAAAACTTGCAATTCTATAGGAAAAGTAATTTATTTCAATGCTAACTCATAATATTAGAATATGACATTTTTTCTATTAGTATAATGTTACTAAAAGAATTTAAAAGCTAAATTATTTTACTCGGGTATTTAATTTTGAAAATCAAAACACGTAAAAATAATTTTTTCGGGTTAACATTTATGTGATTCGACCTTGGGTGCTATATTTTAAAATAAACTAATTTTTGTCTTAATTAAAGGTCTTAAGGATTAGATTTTGATGAAAAAACGGAGTGACCCTGTTCTTAACTAAGTTTTAATTTTTTCTTTTTACCATTTTTAATCGTGAACCACCTGATTTACTGATAGCATACATACTACATCCTCTAGTTTTCTCAAGTTTATGGTCTTTAAGATCGATTTTATTCTTTATTTCCTTTTGTGTGCCCATCTCAAATTCTGATAGTCTGAACACGTAAATTTTACTATCACGTCCTGTGAATAAAAAAAAAATATTTTTTTGAATATAGAGGAGACTGGGATCAAAAGTCACATTGTGCATTTAATTGCTTTACATTTTTTTTATTTTAAACCCTAATATTTGATAAAAGAATGCAATATATATTAAAATATATCNTTAAACCCTAATATTTGATAAAAGAATGCAATATATATTAAAATAATTACTGCTTAAAAGACTAATTAAACAATAAATAATTTTAGTTGATAAAAAGTGTTACAAATGTCCCAATCCCTAGGTAAATTGTAATATATCATGTATTAAAATTTAACGTATTTCTAATTTTTAATGATAAAACTAAATTATCATCTCCATATGTTGAATGACACATTGTATAACTCACGTAAGAGTTTTAATATACTCAGTTAAAGAAAACAACAAAATTAAAAAAAAAATTATTTTTGTTCGTCATAGACTTGGTTTTTTGTGTCTTTTTTCCGACAAATAATCTGTCTATCCTTAGGATAAAAATATCAGTATATTTGTTTTTTTAGTTATCGAATTAGTCTTATCTAAAGGTTGTAGTGATGAATAAGAATTAAAAAGTTGATAAGAGAAGTTTTGTGTGATAATGAGGATATTTTTAACGTAGGTAGATAGAACATTTTTAATTCATTCTGTTGACCGTTGTCAAAATTTTACTATTATAATAATAATATATCGTCAACTTGATTTTTTGTAAGATGATGATAAACTTGATTAATTTTCGAACCATGAACGTAGGCCTTGTCATACGCAAAAGAGTAGATCATATTTTTATGTAGTATGACTTTGATATTAGTGTTTTTAGCAAAAAATCGATTTTTGTGAAATTGATAATAATTGTCATAAGTTTTTTTATTATTTGATTAGCGTGCTATCTATTGATTTTATAAAAAATCTGAATCCATCATTCGATTTTTCGCAAAATGTTACAAATAACATTTTTACTAACTCATTTTGACTAAATTAAGAAATAGGTGTTGTTGCTTCTGAAGCAACCCTATTCTTACCTACTATTGATATTTTATTGGCAATTAGAGAAATTTTATAATGATATACTAACCTTTTTCTGCTCTAAACAGCAGGATTCCATGAGCTTCAATCACGTTTAATTGATTGGCTTGAATAACCTTGTCGAAGATTTGCCGCTGTGACACACTATCTGCGCAAATTAAACGTCTAAATTTAATTACATCTGAGGCAATTTCTACGTAAGTAATAAAACAAAAAAATTGAATTAAGTTTGAAATCTTTTAAATTATTATTTTAATAGTTATTTTTCATTAAAAATAAAAATAATGGTGTGGTGTTTTATAACGAACATTTTCATATGGTTGATGTTTTTATAATAATATTTTAATATAATAAAATATTAGTTACGCACATTATTCTATAAATAAAATTATCGTTTCTTCACGTAGGCGCATAAAACAAGACGACGGTTAAAAATGCATAAATGTTTAATGTAAGTCGTTATTAAACAGACGCGATAGTATATGCTATCAAACAAATTTTACTATAAAATGAGCAGGATTCGCAGGTATTTTATTTTAATGTTTGCGAGGTTGTCTCATAAAGTTTTAACTGTCTAAACTCTTTTATAATATTGCTATTGAATACGTAAAATGCTATCGTAAATATTTTCAGTCTGTATTGATTTAATTTAACTTATGAATAGAGCACGAATTATATACACTTAAAAATCAAATATGCACAAAAACCAGTAAAATATGAACTAGTACACAATTTTTAAATTTATTCTTCTTGAAAAAAAATCATATAATTTTATTAATTATTTGTGAAATTTAAGTTATTTCATGAAAATTATATGTATTAACTTAAGTCATTATTATTGTAGACTATATTTAATATAATAGTCTACAACATTGACCTGCTCAATCGGGAACACGTTATGCCTTTGTGCTCAGGTATAGAGGTTCGATTCCGTACAAATGTTAAAACATACATTTTATATGTCTTAATGGAATAATACGCATGAAACGCTAATATATGCGCTAACCCTTAAAATATGTAATATAAAAATTTGTAATGGCGTGTTGGCGCACGTATGGAGAAGGTCAGAGTGGCTGCACTTGTGGTTGGTCTGGTCAGCTCCTTTCCTACCAAGAGTTGTATTAAGAGTTTTTGTCATTATATATTTTTTTTGTTGGATAGAATCTAAATTTAAAACTGTTTGTTTTTTTTTTTGTTATAAAGTTTTTAGATTATTATGTGAGTGTGTCTAACAATTTTCGTGTTATGTGTTGATTGGATTGTTAGTGTATTTTTTGGTTTATTTTAGTCTCTATTTGCATACTTAATTTAAAAAAATTAAGTATGTCTAATTAACTTAGAAATAATTTTAATATATATAAAATATATAGGTGTTCAGTAAGTAAGGAAGTGGGTTTCTATTGTTCTTATTGTTCATAACAATTGACCTGTTTCCATACTTACTGAATACTCTATGTATTTCAATACATAATAAATGTTTGATATCTTACTAAATAAAATTAAAACCTTTTTTTAGTTTGATTTAAAATTTTTTTTAAGTAATTTATTTTACATTTAATTTTTATTATTTTTAGAACACTATCTTATAAATAATATTAATAAATACATTTTGAACCTTTATTATAACTTACATACTTGAAAGTTGGAAAATAAACGTTGAAATTTGGAAAAAGAAATGAGAAAAGTTATCTCTCTAATAATTTATTAATTCTACATTTTTTGGCCTCTTAAACTTTAAGTGAGTGTAACTTTTCAATGTTTTGATAAATGCTCGGAATATAAAATTTTATTTTTAAAAGGAAATGCAACCTGAAAAATATTTGTTTTGTAACAATTACCTACAGGTTAAACTTAAAACGTAACCCGAATAAAACTTTTTATAATGTTTTGTTTAACGTAAAAATATACGTATTGATCATTTTTACTTGATAATACTGCAAATGCTTTGTGTTGAACGGTATTAATGTATCGAATAAATAAATGTCGAGAACAATTCTTTTTAGAGGTTTTATCAATACAGAAACGAATGGCTTAGAAACCTATGCTGAACTATATATAATTATACCTTCAATGATGTACACCCCACCACTTTCGGCGCATATAACTAAGCGGGAATCGCCCCACGAGTCTCCACACGCTATGTCATAGCCAAAGTCCGGATAAAAGCATTGCGGTTCCCATGGTGCTCTTTTAAAAAGTCCTGTTGTCGCTAAGCTAGTGGGTGCATCTCCTTTGACAATCGTGTCCAGTTTAAGCGCTTGGCCAATTCTGACAAACTCTACTTGTCTAGCCTCTTCTTTTCGTCTTGAACTACGAGGTGGATCGGGCAACACATCACTGAACGCTCTTCTATTCAACATTGCCTAAGAAAGACATAGTCTTGTTACCAATTTATGTGGTCGAAGATTTTAAAAAAGAATACTATAAATATATAAAAAATAAAATAAAGTTATAAGTTACATTCTTCAAGATAATTTGTTTCAATTAGTTTTTCCCAATTAAACATGCATTTATTGATACTTCAATATAGTATTTTAGATAAAAACGATTTTGTTAACATTATACGGGTATACTCAATTAATTTCTCGATTCTTATAAAATTTTTAAACAAATATTCAATTGAAATTATAAAAAAAAACCAAATTAAGTAGTGGATTTACTTTAAAAAAATTAAGTTATAATTATGCCAGAGTTTACTTTATAAAAATGTCAAAAATAAAATAAAATAGAAAGAAATTATTGTGTCTCTAATAATTTAAAATTCTAGTGAACAGCATTCATTAAAAGCAAGGTCCATTGTGTTTACTCTTATAATTTTTCAGACAATTATTTAATTTAATTAAATTCAAAGTAAACAAATCAAATAAATTAAATTATTGACATTAGTTTTTTTTTGTCATTTAATATTTAGAATTATTATTTACACGTTTTTTACAACTATACATTATTATTTTCTAGTTCCTTTAAAGAGTTTATCCGAGCAATAGTGTTATGTAATTAACAATGTTTTGATATTTACCCCTTTACTGGAATCTGACATGTAATCCGAATAAAGGTCTTTGATAAGCATGTCAAGTGTTCGCTCTCTTTTTTTTGCGAAAGTAGGTGTATTAAAAGTAGCTTTTTCACCATTTATCACTGAAATAGTTATAATATTTTAAATAAAAAAATAAAACAAAATAATAAGTTTTATAATGCTAATAACATTTACATTACTAAGCATTTCGAAAAAGTTGATGAAAAAAGCAGAGAAAGTCTTTATATGGAATATAATTAAAATTGATGGTAGTTCAAATTATTAGATGAGAATGTGACAAGGAAGACTGCTATTTCATTATCTGAAATACTTACGTGACTAGAAATAATTGATTTTTCGAGGGAATTGATAACAAAGGTAAGAGTTCTGATTTTATAAATATTAGAAGAGGAATTGAATATATAGTTAAAAGGTATGACTGAGAATCTGAGAAAACTATCAAGTCGTGCTAGGATCATATTGCAGTTCATATATGATACCATAATATTTGGCTGTGAATAGAAGCTAAAAGAAAGTAATTTAGTTAAAAAATAAAATAATAAAGAATAACGAGGCACGATGTATTCATAATAAATTTTAGAATGTTAGCAAGAAATAAAGGATAAAAGATAGTGAAATTAAAAAACTAACGGAGTCTAAGGTCTAAAATTAGGCCAAGATAGGTAACTGTATGGAATAACAAAGTTATTTAAAATCCCCAGAGGTTATTGTAAACTGTTTTGTTAATCTTTATGTCTTATTTGGGTAGCAACTTGTTTTTTTAATGGGAATGCATAATTAATTAGATTATTTATTAGATACTGATCTTATTAAAATTGTGGTTGGAAGTTAGGCGTATTTACTATTATTCAAGTCATTGGACATTTCACGGCCACGCTCCTACTTCCTTAGAAGGGCTCGCAGAAACCTACTACTTCTATACCCTTCTAGCTGTAGGTTAAGGTACATGGTAGTACATCACCTGAAACCCTGAAGTCACACGGTGACAAATAAAAGTCTGGTTTAAGGATCATGTACGCGTCAGAAAACGAGAAACCAGTGTGTCCTACAAGCCTGAAACTATGGCTAATTGAGTCCTATACCACGAATGTGGCATGCCAACTCAAAAGTAATTTTTTGAAAATTGTGGAACGTAGAATATCATTATTTTTATAAGAAGAAAAATATTTTATACTCTATACTTTAAAAGATATTTCTATTGTTAAGTTGTCACCATATATACATATTATCTCCTTATAAACTGATTGATTTTGGGTAAAATTTATATTCTTTAAAATATTGAACATTTTTATTTTTTGCAGAGAAAAAAAATTATTTAGTTTACGAAACTCTACAATAATATGTAGTTAAATCATTATGTTTTCATCTTTTCAATGATAATTGTCCATAACTTTATTTTTTTTTTTCAATGGGTACCACTTTTTTCTTTGTGGCTGTCTGAAAATTTTCAGTTGTCATTGGATTAACTTTTTTGATCTATGCGTTGAAAGACCCCGATTTTTATCTAGTTGAATCTATTAAAAATAAAAATTTCCATGACAATAATTGATATTAAATTAATTAGTTTATTAAAAAAAAGAAATTTCTTCATAATATCCAGTAAGCTCTCTCTATGAATATTATCGTATGCTTTCCTAAAGTCTACAAAAAGTGTATATACTCTTCTGCCAAATTCCCATGATTATTGAAACAGTTGTCTTACTATGAACATTCGGTCTGTCGTAGGTCTACCAATACTAAATTCTTCTTGATAATCTACTAATATTTGCTAAGCCTTTTTTTATGCAATTTAAGACACAGTTCGAAAACATTGTGTACGCTACATTTAACAAGGATATTTCACGACAGTTATTACAATCTTGTTTGACGCCCTCCTTGTGTATTGGAAATGCCACAGTCACTTTCCAATCATTTGGAAGTTTCTCTGTTGTCAATATTCTATCAATCACTTGCCAAATCCACTGCATGGTCTCTTCCCCTCTTTTTTTTAAAAGCTCCACACACAATCTTTCCGTGGTGATTTGTGATTTTTTAATCTCTGTATGTGCTTTTTTATTTCTTCCAATGTCGGGTTTGGATATTCTTGCGTATTTATATTTTCTATATTAATGGTGACTTTTGTTTGGCTCTTCACAGTTAGGAGTCTATTAGTGTATTTTCTTCATCTTTCAGCTATTTCCATCTCTGAGGTTATTAATTAATTTTCCATCTTTATCTTTAAGAAACCGTTTTTTCTTTATAAAATTTCCTTTTAAACTATTTATCCTTTTATACATATCTCGTGTCCTATTTAGCTTAAAGTCTTGTTATGCTTTCTTCATAATATTATGGACGTATTTTCTTTTTTCATATCTTAAGAGAAACCGAGGTTTCTTCCTAATTTTTTTTATCACAATTATCGTTATTGTAGCTTGTAATACCGTGTTTCTAATTTGATTCCACGCATTATTTACATCGTTTATGTTCGTTATGTGTTGCTCTTTGAGATTATAGCTAAATCTGCTGACATAATTGTTATGTATACCTTATGTATTATATCTTCTAGTTTCTTAATGTGATATCTATCAATTTTATTTTAGATCTAGATAAAAAAATTCAGATAATTATCTTTAAATAACTTTGCGTGCGTATTATTCTTTACTTCATAGTATATCAGTATTAAAATTTGAATTTTACAGTCCGAAATAACATTATAACGGTCTAAAAATTTTTGTGATTTGTGTATCGTACTTTGAATTATGATAATGTTTTTACTTCATTGTTCTACAAATAATACAATCATGATAAAGATATTGTTAAATTTTGAAGTAAATGTTAAAAATTTTTCGTGTATATCACTTTTGGATATTAACTTATATTTTAACTTTGGTGCAAAGTTCAGAAAGTATTATTACTCTTTGTGTCTGTAGCTTAAATATAAAATCCTAATGTCCTGATTTTTTAAAATAAATTTTAATTTGTTATAAATTATTTCAAGTTGAAGTTACGAATGTGTAACAATCATTAAGGTCAATGTACTCCATAATTTTTTGGTTTTCATAACATTTTGACATAACACTTAATGTATGTATTTAGTGTTGTACTTTCCTATAAGGTTTTAGATATTACGTTAACTAAAATTCTTATTGCTATTTCGTGGTTAGTTTTAAATAGATTATAAAAGTTAAAAGAGTGTTAAAATATACTGATGGTTCCAAATGTAGACGTGAATACGTTGAGAACATTATAAGAATTCTTGAATTGCAATCTCAATCCAATATAATCTATAGATGTGTAATCATTGCACACCTGTCTTAATAATTGATTGGCATTTTTAATCAATTGAACGGATACTGAAGATAAAAACGACAAGAGTTTCGAAAAAAATTGTATTATTCATCAGGATTCCAGTGTACAATATACTTATCTTTCAAAATATTATCTCCAAAAATATTATAAAAATATAATATTTAGCCTTTGAATATTTAACATACATGCTACATTTAGTTCTTAGTAACTTTTTTTTGGTTACTTAAGTTTAAAATTTCAAACATGGTGCGCATTATTAGAATGCTGAATTCACCAAAATAGTAACGCCAAAACGTCTTAAAGGCCAACCAGAAATATATTTCCATCACTGTTGTAATCATTGAAATAAACACAATATTATTGTTTTTGTGGTTTTTCTAGTAAAATAATCTTTAGTTTTAAATAATTTATAATAATGTAGTTAAGTGATCAATTTATATTAGATAAATGTTTTATTGATATTTTGCACGATCTTTTGTTCATACCGCATATTGAAATATTTAATTCGTTTTATTAACATCAATTAAAATTTTTTAAAATAATGTTAAAGAATAAAATTTATTTTTTAATTTTTTTTACATTTTAAGTAGAGTTAACCTTAAAATTAGTATTATTTCTGCCTTCTTAGGTACAGAATTATGCCTCTTTACTCCTCCACAGGCGTAATATAGAAAAAAATTTAATAGTTTACTGTTTCTAATAGCTATGACTTATTTATTAAATAGAAGAATAGATATATTAATGAAAAAATGTTAGAAGAAGGTATTTAGTTAGTTAATAATCACAAAAGCTAGCCTCAGATAATGATAAATTACTAATTTTAGGAGAGGTATAAGCATTTAATTTATAGTAGTTTATATTTTGCAGTACTATGAAGATACTGAGCTACAAATATTGTACTTGATACATAGTATTGACAATAAATACACGAATTTAAAAATTAGTTTTATTATTTACGTTGTACTTACTTTTAACTATTAGAAATTCTCTGAACTCTTGTGGTTCTTTAAATATTGGTGGGCATGGTAATGATGGTCCAAAAAGAGGTACAGATTCTTCAGAATACAGTATCAATTTATAAAATTTTTCAACAAAATCATAAGCTACTAATGCAAATACGTCTGTATATTAAAAAACTATAAGGAATATTTCATACATTGATTTTAAAGTTTCTTGCATTGAAATATTGATCAGTAATTTATAAAAGTATAAATATGTTTTTCAAAAAAATGTAAGTATTACAAAATATTTTTCATTTACTTTAATGAAAGTGAAAATTTGTCTACCTAAAGTCAGTTTCAAGTATTTCTTACTACATAAGTCTTATGATTACACATAATATGCGTGGTTAAGCAAAAGTAATAAATTTTATTATTTTAGCTTAATCAAAAATATCATTCTAATAATCTCAAGATTTTTTATACCTTGAAATATTTATCCCTAACTGTAATTTATTGAATGTAACGTAATTTAAAGAAATTTATAATTTTTTGTATATATTACATGTTTGATGTTTTGTATTTTTAGAAAATAAAAATTCAATTTTATTTTCTAGCAAAGGATACGTGTAAATTGTGATTTGATGAAAGCTGGATTAAACTGTGACATTTGTGAGATTCCTCCATCCAAGTACACTATATTTACTATGTCGTTTCCAATATGGCGCTTCCTTTCTACCTAAAAAAATCAATGCAGTTCGAATTATTTTAAGGATTACTACTTAAATTTTTTTTTTAGATTTACTTGTTGTCGATTGTCTTTAGAGTATGGTAACATAGTAGACACGTGGAACATTATTTCGTGACCTTCATAAATGGTGTACGTCGAGTATTCACCAGTCATATCACCTGTAGGGTCCCGGAAATTCCAGATTTAATGAAAAGTAATATAAAAAGTTAATTAACTAGAAATTTGCGAGTTGTGATTACCTTTTACGTCTAATCCTCCTCGATATTTGTCCCAGCTTTTTAGGCGAACCCGGTTACCCAACAGAGAGATGAATTGATTAAATTCCTCACTACCGTTTTCTGCAAATACACAAACGTTAACGTTGAATACGAAACAAATAGTTCCAAATTCTACGGACAACTCCCACATTAGTGGTATAATATAAAAGATAGCACCGCACGCGTTCATCAAAATGTCTACACCCTAAGCAGAGGACACTACAATTTAAGTCAATATTAATGGAACACGTAAGACAGTAAAAATCATTGTCCATGTACTCCCAATTTTCAAATTACGAGAATATTAACTAGTAATGAAGTCTTTTTTATATCATTTGAAGTTGGTTGTTGAAATATAATACTTGTAGGGCATTATCTTTTAAATTTTGGGATTAAAATGTGACTAGCTTTAAGTCATCTTTTGTGATATTATAAAATGATAGATGTAATTTCAACTGGTATAAATACCATAGGAAATAATTATTCCCAATCGAAATTGAAATTCAAAAAGTTTAAAAGAATTTTGCATTATTTCCATAAAATATTTTTCAACAAATGAGTCGACCGTTTAATTTAAAAGGAAAAAAATTAATAGAGGGCATAGAAATTATTTTTTCTGAGTAAGTTTTAAAGAAAACACGGTTGAATTCACAAAAGCAAATGATTTTTTATTTTTTTTTCTAGACAAGATTATTTGAAGATCGACTAATTAGAACTGTATGCTTCCAGCTGCGTAAAGTAAGTTTTCTACAATATTTACTATACTAAATATTAAAGTAATAGTCAAAAATAATTACTTGAACTTTACAGTATATAATACTAAACTTAATAATTAGTAATTAAGTTTTAAATGGAAATATATAATAGGAATTAGATAAAAAAGTAGTTAGTAGAAAGAAGGCTTAAGTGTGTTGGCTGACTAAGGAAAAACAAAATAGGTGCGCTGATAAAGGTCATGTTAGGTTAAGTTAAATGGAAACTTTAATAATGCCGCTTAAAGTTTTGTTAACTGTTATACAAAGCAGAACAAAAGAGACAAAAATGAGGTTTAACGAATAACAATATTATAATTTTGATGTCTGACATACAGGTAATTAAATTAGAGTTGAAATTAATTAAAAATAAATGTTCCTAACAATTAGACGGCACTTGCAAACCGAGGTTTTATTACAAAAATAGAAAAAATAGTTTAGGGTGTCATTTATTTTACAAATTTTTCATTCTTTTAAGAGCCGATACTTTTTTGCTTTTATAAGTATAAAACTTGAGGTCAATCTAATACGTGGTTAACACGTACCGATTTGAGCTCAATGTTTGAGTTTTATCGATTTTTTAGAATAATCAATTGTTATTGTCAATTACTTTTTGAATATTAAAAGTTGAAAAAATATCAGGAAACAAAAGAGTATAAAATAAGTGAGACTGAAGCACATTTGAAATAGAATAGATTTGATGAAATCAGGTCTATGTAAAATAAACATATCAAATGTTGGGTACAGTATAACCAGTATAACCAATCTTTTGTATTTTACGTGAACTTAATTTATCACTGTAACTAGATTTATTTAATCCATTCAATACTACCCCACATTTAAATGTGCTCCAATTTCCCATAATATTTTATAATTTTTTTAGATATTCATAATTGATTGTCTAAAAAAATGTTACATTGATTTTTTACCAAAATTAATACTTAACACTACAGAAGCGGAAAACCGAAGAAAATACAAAGAAAGTCGAAAATTTCACACACATTAAATTTTGATAAATTTAGAATCGATTTTCACGCTATATTTTTTTATATATGACTCAATTAGAAATTTTAAATGTATTTAAATATATAAAATTTACAATTTTACCACATTGTAAACTATTTTTGTGGGTGTTCATTATATATATTATTTGGGTTATTTTTTTATTCCTTTTTATAAATTAAAAAAAATCTTATTAAAATGTATTAGTTTAAAAAGTTTGAAACTATTTAAAATTTATTTAAATGAAATCAGGATTGTATTTTGGGTTGGCTCGGTAAGCATTAGCCTCCCAAAAATGTTTACAGTTAAATCTCAAAATTTAAGAGCAAAACCTATAAACATTATAGGAGATAGGAGATTACATAGGAGATCATTAAGACATTTTTTCAGTATTAGAAAATTTTTCCTTTTTTTATTATATGATACGATTTATTCAGATCAATATTTATTTTATAGAATTACAATTGTAATTTTGCTATATATAGTTACTTTTAATAGAGAATTATAGTAATAATTACAATATTGGATTAATAAAGGTTATTATTTATTTTTGTTAAATATATTAAACGTTAAAAGTAGTTGATACTATATATTATGTCAACTATTTTAATCGGAGCCTTCGAATTATTTAATAAATTATATTAGTTAGCTATAATAAATTTTAGTGCCCTTCAAAAATTCTAAAATATAAATAAAAAATAATTATTTATAATTGGTAAATATTAAAATTGTTAAAGAAGTATAACAAATTATTTTAATTTATTTATTTATGGAGTCCTATCCATTCACAGAATATATGGCAGTTGATAAATTTAAATGCACAATATCGCCGCTAATTAAAGCGCCTATGGCATAAAAATTTCTTCAAAATTAAGTGTATATGAATTTTTAGACTGTCTTTGTCTTAGATTTTTTTTGTTTTTTTGTTTGTGTAGCGTTAGTTTTAGAAAAATACAAAACATTTTATACAATTCTTTTTTATACATTTTTGTTCCCTAACATTTTTTTCAATTATTAATATTCAAAAATTAATTTGCTTAACTATTTAATAATAAACGTATAAAAAACTATATTATTTCAAAAACTTATGAAATTCGCACTTTAAGCTCAAGTTGGTACGTTTAAATCATATTGGACTATCCTCAAGATTTGTAGATATCATGTTTGTACTAATAAAAACTACAAAAAAGCACACTCAGAAGAATAAAAAAATTCGTAATAAAGTGGCTCTCCAAAATAGAAGGTACTATATGCAAATAATAATTTTATCAAAATATTTATAAAAGTACACCAAGGAATAATGTGCTAATTAAAGTTCAGAATTATTGTAGTTAATTAATATTTTTAGTTAAAGAGAAAATGGAAATGGAAAAAACAACTTTATTAAGAAATTTGAGACAATTTAGTATTTATTTAAAAATGTAAAATATTTTTAAATTTATAATTAATTTCTATTATAATTTGGAATTTATTCCTTTGTAGATTTTAACGTTTTTTCTTGATAAACTATTATTATTATAAAATGAACATACATTTAATTAAAATAATTTATTAATGATCCAAATTCAGTTTTTAAATTAAATTCAATAAGCAATTAAATTTGTCAATATAATAATAATACATTGAAAACTTATTACATACCATTGCTTAACATTTCATCATCAGTACTTTGATTAGGTTTGGCATATAATACTCCAAATTTAAAATTAACTGAACCTTCTTGTTCTTCCAATAACAATAAATCCTATAAAAATAATTATCTATTAATTAATCATTTGATAAAATTTAACAATGCTTTTTAGATTTTAACCTTTTGAATTTCTGGAGAAAATATTTCTTTTGGTCCTTTTTCTATTTTATCCATTAATGGAAAGTTACTGAAACAAAAATAAAACTTATAAGTTTATTATTAGTCTAAATAATTATACAGGAAAATTTTCTTAGTCTGGAAATGTGATCTAATTAGTTTTAGATAGTTGTTTTTATTGTTCGTTTTCAAACAATAAAGACCCAACCTGGTTGATTATGAATGAAGATGAAGTTTATATATTATTTTAAGTTTCCTAAACGCTAGAATAATTTTAATAACTGAAGTATAAATTTTACAAGCACTACTCATGATGACTTTACAGTATTTGAAGTATCAATTGAATTAATTTGTCTAATTTTTCGTTATTACTGTTTGATATACTACACCTATCAAATTACAATTTCTAGTTTCGACATTTGTGCCACCGCTGAGAAGTGTACGCGATTTATCAACTTGACATGTTACGTGTACCGGCGTTTCCGTTTATCTCTTTATACGTCGTTTGGTACACTGTTGCAATGATGAAAGACCACATCACTTATAATACTGGGTATAAAACAATCCATTAATTCTCAAGCCTATCAAGAGATTTCACTCGTACAATAAATTGTGATTTTTTTGTTTATGTAAAAGCTTATCATGCAGTTCAATGTATTAACATTAAAGAAAATACATATAGTTCACTTATAGTATAAAATTACATAAATATCGTTTTTCAGATTCAGTCATAGCTATTAAACTATTGTTTTTTTGTAATAATATGGTAAACAAATTTGCGTTAATGCTACTAAAAACATAATAATATTTTTAGATAAAAATGATTTAATTGTATGGAGTGATAGTAAAAAATACCATAAAATTCTATATATGGAACTTTTTTTTCATCATTTCTCTTTAAAAATGAATATTTCTGTCAATGGGGAGGGCCCCTCTGTAAGGTATACAAATTTATTAATAAATATTGTAAGTTATTTTTAGTGTTGAAATTAAGTCGCCCTGTTTAGTTTAATTTGCTCAATTTGTTGTGAAACTTTTTCAATAAATTTAATTATACATATTTTGTAACCTAATAAGATTCAGTGTTAATGAATATTGAATAGGTAGTAAGCTTTAAAATTATTCCTTTGAAGCAACCTAAATTATTCGCTTCTTGGCTTTGTTCCGAAAAGATATCATTTGGTATAATTGAACGACTTCATTTATGTTCTAAGAATGTAGATGTATCTTATTTAGTCATATTTATAGCGAGTCGTTAATTTAATGTTTAATTTAAAATATAATAACTATACTTTAAGTACTACAAATTGACGAAATAAATTTAACTTTAAATTAAATTATAATCATTTGAAGGATTTAATTTTTGCTTTGAAAAAAAACTTACCCCTATAAAGTTATTTTAGGACTAAGTATAGAATCTATCTTTTAAATTATCATTTATTGTTGTGCTACATTTTCAAAAACATTATATAGGTTTACTTTTTAAGAGTTATGATAAATTGTTTTATAAATGCTGGGGTTGGCTCTAAATGCAAGTATATTGATGCTCTTATGTATTAAATTTATAATGAAGAAATCCTATCAAAGAATTAATTGAAGCAATTAAGATAAATTAGATAAATCTTTGAATACAGAGTTTATGAATGGTACTATCAGTAAACAAATGATTATTAATATTAATTTACTACTTTAAATGTGTTATCATTCTATGAATTTTTGTCAAATAATAACATAGAAGTTGAATTCAAACAAATTATTAATATATTTTTTGAAACTAAATTGCAATCTAAGAGTATAAATTGAAAAAAGTGAGAGAAAGTAAAAATTTTTTTTAATATTTAAATTTTTAATTGTTTAAACGTGTTTTGTAAAAAAAATTTGTAAATAGGTTCGGATCGAGGAGTATGCTAAATTAGGAATGATATTAATTTTTATAATAAGGTTATATGACATCCTCACTGGCCAATAGTTTTGTTGTTACCAGAAGAATTATTCAGGTAGTTCTAGTTTTATTACTCTCTACGTTTCTCTGTTAAATCCTTTTTGCGCGACACTTCTGCCGATTATTAATTATATTTATTTTTAATATCTGATACGTAGTACTAAACAGTTATTTTATAGTAAATTCTATAGTTTTAATTATTTACGTTTGTTTACTGGCGTTTCTAACAGTTTCGTAATAAAACATGCTATTTTAAACGACTATGTGAATACGTGTAGAAAAGATATTAAAACATATAGGTTGTGATCAATTACCGTTTTACCTTGATAATTGTTCGTTTAACGGAAAGAAAAAAATTATTTCTAACTTGCGTGTTTATTTTTATAATATTTGGACTTAAATAAAAGCTCTAACTGCTAACAGATAATTTTGTTTTATCATAACGGAACTCAAAAAGATTTGAGGTTACGAACTTAATTATATTGGAAAGTTAAAACAACAAAACATAAAAAAAACATAGCACAAAAACTAATAATTTAAATAATTTGATTTTAAAATTATTTATCAAATGATTTTTTTTTTAATGTCCTTTCAATTTGAAAAGTTAAAAATAACTATAAGAAGTTTAATTAAATAAGGGAAAAAAATAATTTGAAACATTGAGAGTGTTTTTATTTTAATTTGCGTTTTTATTTAAAATTGTATAGATAAATTATTTGTAATTATAAACTTTATATTTAAATTATAAGTAAAATGTGTTATTAAAAAGTGTAAAATTTATAATGATAATTGTTTATAAAATTATTCAAATCTGTTTTATTTTTACTTATACATAATTGTATAATTATTCTCAGTAATTCGATGTTCTGTTGGAGTTGTTTAGAGTTTCGAGTTTTGCAGCAGAGTTGAACATAAAAAAGTTTTATTTTTACAAAATGATATCTTACGCAACTTTGTATAATGCGCATGTAATAATAACGTTGTTCGATACATATAAGGTATGGTTTTATTGTCACACAAAAAATCATGATAATTGAATTGTAAGTACTTGATTAGGAATAGGTTTTAGTTTTAATAGATAAGAAGTAAAAGAACTATAGTTAACAAAATATTAATTAGAAAATAGTTGATGATTTTTTTATATTATTTTTAAGTTTTGTGGGTACATAATATCAAAATTATATGGACGTCAACAAATCCCACCTGTATTATTCAATGAAAGAGTAATAAAAATAAATTTTAAATTAAATTGTATTTTAGTATGATTTCATTACAAAATAATTTTATTTTAATATGATTTCGCATATATTTATAGAGTATATTGTTCAACATTTTGTTGTCAACTTTGATTAAAGCTTGGGAATATGTACAACTGGTTTGAAGAAGAAAAATTATCTCTTTAATAAAATTAGCCGTTTTAAAAATAAACTAATAAATAAATATGCATATATACAGTGTTCAGTAAGAAAGGAAACGGGTCAATTGTTACTAACAATGAAAATAATAGAAATCCATTTCCTTACCTATTGAACATCTATATACAGACGGTTTTTGTGAGAATGTGGCCAAGTTTAAAATGATAATTTTTCAGGCGACCAAAAACACAAAATACTTTTTGCTTTTGGTTAATGAAACAAATTCGAATTATAATTAAGAAATAAAAACTAAATACTAATGGAAACAGTGATATTGTTATGCGTAGTGAAAATTTTCCAATAAAACTGATAAATAACATGAAAATTACTCTTTACTCCTCTTAAATTTGTTTAATTAATTATGGTGTGATTTGGTTCGATCACTTCTTTAAATTTTCGATTAACTTTTTTTTAATTTGTCGCTATATATTTTGGAAATAAATTTTTAAAATGTAAAAATTCAGTCCTGTGCATTGTAGTTCTTGATCAAGTCTTGAGTATAGTAGTATATATAAATATATACTAGATCGATTATTTGTTGAGAATTTAGTTTATAATATATTTAGTTTACAGTTAGAGTAGAAGAATTTGGTCATATAGTTATTTAAGTTTTTTTTGGGTTTATATTAAAAAATGTCACAACGTAATATGTAAATAATTTTAGGAAGATGTGCTCAGATAAGAGTAAATCGCCATGATGAAAATAATAACTTGTTAAATAAACAATTTGTAGAGAGCTGTAAAAATATCTTAATAAACCTATTTCAAATGATTAAATATTGATCTCCATTCTATTTACATAAAATAATGAATTTAATTGATAACGTGCTTGGTTAAAGTTAGCTGAGTATAATGACATACCCAGAATGTTTCAATAAGGGGAAGACTATACAAAAAAAATCTATAGACTTTTTTTTAGGTGATTTGTTACTTAAAATATTGACTTACAGAAGTTAATTGGGGTATAAGCCTTTTTAGACCCATTGATACGCTATTGATTGAGTAAATTAGACTTAAGTAAGCATGCATTATTATATATTTATTTATAATGTAGCTAAATGATAAAAGTCATATGTTATAATAATTTTTTTTAAATTTCTAATAATACATTAGAAATATACTATGAAAATAAAATAAAAGACTATTAAATTTCATAAAAAAATTTGTAGAGAAGTATTTACATTATTATAGTAATTATATACAAAAGTATAATATTTAAAATTGAGCATTCGACGTTAGCAATTTAGGCTTTCTAAATGATGTCCCATTGTTAACATTTCATACATGATACTACAAAAGGGTAATAATTATTTTAAACATTGAATCTATATTAAACCATTTCAATGATATTTCTAGGGTGTAGGCTTATTTATTATAGTAATCATTATAATTGTTTAACTATAACTTATAACAATGACATTGCAATTATTATTTGGATTAAAAGTAACATTTCAGTTCAACAAGATCAGTTATTATTTCTCTTGAATTATTTCAATAATGTAGATATGTGTTTTGCCTTTAAGGTGCTTTGCAAGGCGATCGGTATATTATGAAACACTCGAATACTCGCAAAATAAATACAATAATAGAAAAATAAATTTTTATTATTTATAGGGATGTGAAATTTTTATTTTTAAATAACAACATGTATATTTAACTAGTTTATAAAATATAAAATTAGTTTATTAATGAAGAAATATATGTAATTAAAAA